TATTATTAATATTATTATTATTAATATTATTATTATTATATAATACATACGCGGATAAACACATATTTATAGATCAAATAAATACACCTTTGTGTGTATGTATACGTAACATTGATCATTTTACGATAATTAATTGATATTACTATTGTGCTATTTCGGCGTAAATAAAATCAACGTTCGGGAGAACGTGAATGTTTATTATTCGTTATGATTACAATAAAAGTTTATTTCGTCGAATTCTGTTCTTTTTGCATAAAGTAATTATTAAAAAATATCGGATAAAATATTATTAGGATCGAATTCGTTAACTAAAAGAATTATTGATCAAGTTCTGAGTCAAACAGAATTATGAGTAAATCATGCGTTGAGTCAAAGGAATTTATTATAAATGAATTTGATATACTCTTTAAAGAAAAGAAATAAAGCTTAATAAATAAAAATAATTAATTATATGTTTTTAAGAGAGAGTAATTACGAGTAATTTCTGTATTGGCTGTTGTTACTATATTATATATACTTATATATAATCATAGATAATTAAGTCGGCGAATCGCGTGCAAGGAAAATACGCGTGATGCATGTATCTATAAATGTATATAAATCGTTCAAACGCAAATAATTATTAATAAATGAAAGTAACGAGAGATATGTGCTGTATTAATTCATTTTACTCACGAGCCTTATAATTCTCTTTTGTTTTAATTAAATAACAAATATTATATGAGAAGATATTTGTTATTATTTAAATAACAATCTGGTACGTATATTTATATAGATATTATATATTATATATTAAGAGAGAATTCACGTGGCGTTCAACGTGTTAATATTTCTTGTCAAACGATCCTATTGTACGCTTGTACTTATTTTGGTATTAACTATGGTTACAAAATTGCGTTTAAGATTAATCATAATCTAGTTAATAATAAACCATTATCTTATTAAATATAAATTATCAAATTATCCTATTAAGTATATATATATATAAGTAAATCAAATATCTTCGTTACTCACGTACGCGAATAAATCTAAATTTTTATACAAGAACGTGTATACGAAAATTTTATTGGTGTATATATATATATATATATATAGATTTGTGTGTTATTAATAATAACTTAGTATATATACAATGTGTAACATCATGTAAACTCTCTCTTCTTACAAAACAAACTGCTTCACTTGTTCTTATCTTTCTTATTGCGACAGTCTTGTACGTTTTATTACTTGTGATAATCTGTATTGAAGCTAAACAATATGTAATATCTAGACCTCACTAAGTATACTTATGTTCGTGATTCACTCTGTATATTTTCTATCATTTAACATTACGAAAATTTCGAACGTGGTGGCAAGACTCTCAGCCTTTGTTTTTGGGTACGAGGCGATCGAGATGTAACCCGAAATTCGAGTGGCAAGTCGTAACAGCGACAAACACAGCAACTTGGAAACTTAAACCAATCGCTAAATATGCCACGACACTCGTTATTAGGATCGTAAGCTAAGAGTCTATGAAGTCTGTATTGTTGTTCGCATCTGCATCCATCTCTACAGTACATCTGTTTGTTTTCGTGTCTGCCGTAAAAGAAGTTCAAATAGAGACTTATTAAATAGAAATCTTTCTTTTTCAAATTTAGAAATAACTATAAATGAGAAAAGAAAATAATGTTTGGCATCATTATTACTTACGTGCACTTCTCCCAATGAACGTATTGTTCGAAAGGATAAAGATTGAGCAGAGCAAGTACCTCGCCTCTGGTGTTGTTGGCCCAAAAAGGTGCAACTACTTCTTCCTTAACAGGACAAGCGTTTCTATATCGCAAAAATAAACGTATCACACTAAAGTTAAAATTATTTGACGAGTTAACGTTCATACGGATACTCACACTCCACGGAGTTTGAGAACAGGTTGTTCCTGTTGTTGATCCTTTCCAGCAACGTCCTGATAAAGCTGACCTTCCATATTAACCGTTGCTGGCCTCGTCGACGGCCTATATTCTGGACGCGGTCTGAATTGCTGTTGATCGTCATTAACGAAGGTCTCGTGAATAGTTGTTTCTTTGCCTACGTCGAAGGAATCTTCAGTAAAAACCGTTGACGAAGTTGGTGCATCCAAACTGTCGACATTCGAGTCATCTTCGATATTCAATTCCGGTACTTCCGTTTGTTCCGTTGGCTCTTCTAACTTGTCCTCAACTTTTTCATCAACCTTCTCGTCTATTCTATCAACTTGTCCAGATATTTCATTGATGCTTAAATTCTGCTCGCGAACAATCTGCGTGTGTGCGATTGTTTCGTTCTTCTCTTCGTCTTGGTTTTCTACTCTTTTAGGTGTCGTTGTAGACGAGGATTGAATATTATCGATCTCTTTTGTAGTAACATCAATGCTTGCTGATGAAACTGTTGTTGAGGCAACCATAGTCGAAGCTACCGTTGTGGTTGAAGATGCCTTGGAAGACGCTATCGTAGTCGATGACGTTGTTGTACTAGTTGCTGAAGAAGTTGCCATCGTTGTAGTACTAGTGGAGGAACTCTCGGTCGCTCTCAATCTGGTATATTCGTTCAATTTAGGAAATTTACCAAATCTCTTGGTGGTAGGATCGTTGAAAGACCTACTGGTGAAACCACGACCCCCATATTCTTCGTCATCGGCTCTTAGAATCCTCTCTTCGTCTTCCATCGAATCGAACTCGTCCTCGTATTGATATCCCCTATGATTTATCAACAAGATAAATATACCAAGAAGTAACTCAGTCAATTTGTTAGACATTTTATATCATGACATTCACCTGGAGTCATCGGAGAAATGATGATAATAATCATCATACTTTAATTCTATGTCATTCTTCTCAAATTCTGCTTTCAAAACGTTTATATGTTTTTCATCGCCATACATACGTCTCATTAAGCCTTGATTCTCCTGTACGAAACGACGCACGGCATGCCTACGATCGTAAAAATCGAATGAACCTATAGACGAATTATTAACATTTGTATGCGTGTGTCCTAATAATCAGTGGATACGTTGAACGAAAGCATAATAGAATCACGTAGTCAAATCGTCTACCAGCTAATATCTAATTCAATAGATGAGAAATCTATTTTGGCGTACGCTTGCGAAACACTTTCTTCGACCTATCTACGTCAATAAACTTTCAATCATTTAATTTGGTCAACGAAAAGAAAACATATGATATATCAAAAGCTAGTTTCCATTATTTTTGAAGGACACATATTGGGGATAAAATAGAAAAATGAAGAAAATGAAATACCAGGGATAGGAGCTACCAGCGACTGTGCACCAACTCTGCCGGCGAAAGTCACATGGAAGATTAACGAGTCTCGTGCGTCCGGCACGCGAATATGGTTTGCTGCATGCTGATGATGCATCGTATCCGAAAGTACTTGGACCACCACCACCATTTCCTTGACATCTCACTAGCTGCACTCTGATCACCTATAATTACGTCGTATGTGTCTGTGCATGTGTGTATGTAATTTATCTGTTACAGTTTATGTACAGAATCTGGGCACTGTATAGATTGCCCGAGGCATTTTATAAAATATCCATTAAGATTAAGCAATTTATATTTTGAGGATATTTCTCGTTAATTACTCGGTCAATCTATAAAATATCCAGAGGGTTTTGCTGAATCTAGAATATATGCTTCAATTGGCTATGTTGCAAAGGCAAGTGTTGTTAAATTCATGTAAATGAAACGAACTATGAAAATTTAAACATTTGTTCACAGTATCATTAACAAGTTTCAGAGTTAATCTTTAAAATGTACTTCAATGGGGTGTATTTAGAGTACAACGCTGAATCTTATAGTAAAATAATAACAATATATATCTTTAATTATTAATAATTGAATTCGTATCTTTTTCTATACTAGGAAGAACATTTCTGCCCTCAGATTTTGTCAGAATTTTGTCAGGGTTGCGTCAGGGTTTTGTAACCGGTAATATATTTAATATATAAATAAAAGACCAATAGCAATGAACTGTTAGGCATCGATCAGATTAACATGTCGTTGACTATTTAACACGATCCCGTTAATACTGATGGCTTCGTCTTGTCGTTACCACGTGCAGGCAAGCGGGATCGCGAATCAAGTCCGAAATCTCGACTCGATCAAGAGATCGATCGACGAAGATTGACCGACCGGTTTTCATAAAACGAGTTAAAAATAATAGAGCGGAAGTTGATACATTACAGTTAAAGTAATATCTTGAAAGAAAGAAAAATAACAATAAAAATTGTATGAACATGATATGAAAGAGAGAGAGAAGAAATGAAAGAAAAATAAATAAATGAAATAAAACGATTGGATCTTGTTAGACTTGTAGATTCATTTTAATGAACTCACCTGAAGGAGAAGAAACGCGATTAATTTCATAACTCGCGAAGTTTAGGACACGTCGTTGGACGTTTTATTTATTAATTTTATTTTTTGCTTGTTTTTTTTTTTCTTAATTGGTTTGTTTTAAACGAGGACCTGACACAATCGACGTCGCGGTCCCGCGACTTAGATCCACTGCCGACAATCGATTCCAATGATGACAGTTTATCAGCACTTTAACAATAAAAGGAAAATAAAAAGGTGTCTTAAAGAAGGAGAAGAAGCTTGAAGAGTATTCGCGCGGATTACTCGCGAAGGGTAGGGGCTCGTGGCTACATGACAGCACCTCCGCGTGCGAAGAGAATGCTTTTATTACTGGCCTTTCTCTTCGCCTTCCTCGAGTTTCCTCCTCGTTCTCTGGTCACCCGCCGCCCATGCAACGTAAACGTTCGTTTGAAAAAAAATCGCCCCTCTCGAAGACGAGGATCGAGTCTTCTGTACTCGTGAATCCTCCAGGTAAAAGAGAGAGAGAGAAATCTGGAGAAGAAGAAGAAGAAGAAGAAGAAGAAGAAAGAGAGGAGAGTCGAAGCAAGCAAGACGAGGAGTAGGTCATCGTCGCTTGTACCGTTAGTTTCGCTACCATTGATGTGTGTCACGGGGGCCTAACAGTGACGTAGCATGAAATACGATAAGACTTAGATCTCCAACAAACTTAACATTCTTTCTTCTCTTCTCAGATCTTCCATCTTCTAAATTAATTTTTTCGCTACTTTCACTTCCTTTTTTTCTCTATTATAAAAATGAAATATGAACTTTCCTATTCCAAAAACATCTGCAATAAATATGCCCAAGTCTTTACCATCTTAAACTGTTTGTAAGCATCTTACGACTTGCACGTAAAATTTAATTACCTCCAAAAAAGACTATAGAAGGAATAAACATCTTTTGTGTATTTCTCAAGGTTACTGACCAACGGACTACGCCACTGTACCTGCAATGTGTTTATGGAGTTAGAAAAAGACAACGCAGTTCGCTCGTAAAGGCAACTTAAGTCTTACAACGAGACGTCCCGTGTGTTCTACTAACCCCGAAACTACTGTCACTGCTACCTCTTTCACTGAATTTCCTCGCTTTTGTACAAAGGGGGGCCTTAACAGACCCAAGCTAAATAAACCCTCACAACGCCTCGGGCTGTGACATCCCCTCTCATCGATTTCTTATTTATTTTCTCCTCTCTCTCTCTCTTTCTTTCTCTCTCAATCTACCTTTGAACACGATGATCTTCGAGAATTTCCTGGAAAATGAAAGAAATCAAACTGACATTCTTTTTTATTCGCCATTAAAAAATTAAACTTGGATCATCATTTAAAATTATTCCTCTAAAAATTCATTTCGATTAATATATTTATACGATCATAATTTTTATATTTTTTAATGAGTTTTTATTATTTTTAAGAGAATAATAAATTATTATTCAGAAGAAAATGCCGTTAGTAAGATATCAAAGTTATCAGATGGTACATTGAGAAGAGTCAATTTCATAATAATGATTCTTTACCATCTAATTGCTATTTAGTGGAGCATGACTGTTCTAAGTCGTTGACAACATAATTAATACTTCCAGGAGGAGCTAATTTACACTTAAATTTCAATGCAGTTATTGCCATATTTGAATAAACCTAATTAACTTTTTAATATTCTACATCTACATAACATGTATCGTTCAGTAAAAAGATGTTTGTTTGGATTTTTTCTTGTTTTTTTTTGTTTTATGTTAAATCGAAGCATACGACTAAACTTAACTGTGTCCATTCTTGGAGCAGTGTTTCTCAACTTGAAGTTTACGGAAACATGTTCACTTAAAAAAAATTTCAAATTGTTTCAATAAAATTTTGATTCGAGCATAGTTGGAAAGATGTCCTGAAAGATGGTTTAACTTCAAAAGATAAGGTTGGGAACTACATTATTTCGTAAAAAATAATATTCCTTTTATTGCTTCGATAATAAAAAAAATTCATAAAAAATATTCAAATTTGATCGTTCTTCTACAAACATTTTTAAATTATCGTTATTATAAATACTTATTAAATAAATCGAATACTTTCCTCTAATTTATACTAACTTACCATAGTCGATCGTTGGTAATGATTAAATTTTTTGAATTTAGTAATGTCAGTTAGACGTATAATAAAACTGAAAGGAACATCTTACAAATAAAATAATAAATTGTTAATAAATATTACAAGAATATTACTATACATTATTTCTCAAATAATAGTAATAATAATAGTAATAATAATAGTAATAATAATAATAATAACAATAATAATAGTAATAATAACATAACCTTAAAGGATATCCTGTTTACAAATGTGATCAGTGACAATGAATTAAATTGAGCTATTATTTATAATATGGCAAATAAAAATCCAAACGAGATAGTATTGAGCTATCAAAATTCTCTACTTCGTAATTCAGATGTAAATTTACTGAGAGGAGAATATTGGCTCAATGATAATATTATTGGATTTTATCTCGAGTACTTACACGATCATCTAAATGTTCCTAATAAAAATGAAATACTCTATATTAGTCCAGAATTAACTCAGTTATTGAAAATGACAAATCCATCACAATACGATATATTTTTAAAACCCATTAATGCGCATACTAAGAAGTTTATCTTCTTCCCATTAAATAATCTGAATCGAAAAGATGCTGCTGGTGGATCGCATTGGAGCTTATTGGTATACTCTAAACCAGAAAATACTTATTTTCATTTGGATTCTTTTCAAGATACCAATGGATCAATAGCATCAACTTTTACCAATAATCTCATGTTATATTTTAATTGTAAGAATGATACCAAATTTATTGAAAAGGATTGCCCTCAACAAACTAATGGATATGATTGCGGTTTATATGTTTTATGTTTTATCGATATAATTTCTCATCATGTTTTACAAAACAATACAATGAGAGATTGTAAATTAAACACTGTCGAGTTCTACGTTAAGTCTAAGCGTATAGACTTATTATGTTTGATCAATGAAGCAAAGAAAAAATAAAACAACAAATGTGTTGTTTAATACGCACTACATGTATAAATGTGATTATTATTACATATTAATATATATATATATATATATATATTATTTCTTCCATTTTTCTCAAACAAGTGATACTGTTAATCACTTCAATATTTAATGTATCTATATATCTATAAAATTATATTACATTTTGATTGATATATATATATTCTAATAAAAATTATAAATTCTTTAATTAAAAAATACATATCAATTTAATCATGTAAATTGTAGATATATTTATTATTCTTGATAGAATGGAAGTTTATTTTATAATTATTAATTTACTTCTGTAATTACCTTTTAATATTTTATATTATTAAATAAAAAAAAAAAAAAAAAAATTTCTAAACTTTTATTAAATTATTATTTTCTTTTAAAAGCAATTATTATGATTTTTAAATAATATTTCTTAATAAATATTATTTTCTTTTATATATATTATGTATAATTTGAAAACATAGAATTTTATTTACTTAAAGAGAATATCACATGTAACCGTAAGTGCTAAAATGTATTAACAGATGTCGCCATAAATTCAAAAAAACGGATGATGGTAACCAACCAGTAATTGCAATAATCTATGGAAATATGATTCTCAATTTGACACTTGCTGCTTCCAAAAAATTAATGTGAAAATAACATTTATATACATACAGGATGAATGATTATAAAATGCCTATTATCGAGCCTACTATCGATTATACAAAGGTGGAAATACTTAAATATTCATTTACCTTAGCATGTAACGTATAACTTGAAATCAATATTATCTTTATTTTTGTTTCTTTCAAATGATTAAGTAAAAATATTACATATATTTTATTTTATATAAAGGTTCCACCGATAAATCAGAAAAGAACAATCTCTTTTATCAATCATTTTATTATACATACCGTAACTTTTCTTAACAAATTTGCACTATCATGTGAAGAAAAGTTATTTGAATTTGAAAATAAACTTCAAAAAGTTGAAGCATCTCTAGCAATTCTTGAATCCCGGGTATGTATTTAAAAAAATTCAAATAATTTGGGACTTTTATTAAGTATTATTTCTATTTATTAATTAATTAATTATGTGTTTTTTGTGTTAGTTATCTTCGATACCGGATTTGCAACCAAACACAAAAGTTGAAACTGATAACATCAAAGAAAATAATGAAATTAAATCTGAGAACGTAAAAGTTACAAAAATAGATGAACCAGATAACGTAGAAGAAAATAAATCTATTGGCGATGAATCTCCTCCACAGAAAGTTGAAAGAGATCCTCGCTATGATAGATATTTTAAATTGATTCATTTGGGTGCGCAAAAAGAAGAAGTCAAATTACGAGCACAACGCGAAGGCCTGGACCCAAGTGTTTTAGAGTAAGTCTTTACTTCTATTAATAATTATAATAAATTTTTACTTTTTTTTATTGCTTTAACTAATGTATGATTCTATCTGTAACATAAATTTTACTTCTCCTAAATATATTTGTAATATATTTGCTATGTCATTTTATATATTAACTTTTATAGAGAATATTAAATTAACTTACTTCTTATTCTGCATTTTGTATACAATAGTAATAGCATTTTTATTTTTTAACCAATAGCGAGCCTCAACAGACATCTTCTAGGCTCAAAGAGAATGTGCAAGATACAACTACGAGTCAAGATTAACTAGCTTATTGAATGTTATATTAAAACACCAATATTAACATTTCTTTTATATAGAAGTAAAAAAATTCTATTTGCAAAATAAACAAATAAACAAATATACAAATAAAGAAACTGAGTAGATTTATTTTTATTTCTTATTAAATATACATAAGGTAACATGAAATAAATCTTTTAGAACTGAATCATTTGTCCCTGAAAATAATAATATAATAAAGATTAGTACTTAGGAAAAGAATTCTGGTATATACAAAGATTGTTATTATGTATTTACCTTTCGTTTCTTGTCACCACCTAATTCGAAGTGTTTGCATCTTTTAAGAGGAATTTGCTTTCTATACTTGCATTCTGTACATTCCATTCTTAATACAATTTTCTTTGTAGTTTTAGCCTATTGATAAAAAAGGAATATAATTATAACATGAATGATGGTGGTGATTGATAAGAGATAGCGATAATCATAAGCACATAAATATTTGAAGTAAAATTTCACAAAGTATATAATAAAATCTTATATGAATTCTAAAAAATAATAATAATAAATTAATTTATATATAAATGTACCTTCTTTCTGAATATAGGCTTCGTTTGACCACCAAAACCTTGTTGTTTACGGTCATAACGTCTTCTACCTTGAGATGCATGCCTCTCCTTGCTTTTTTTATATTGTGTTACCTTATGTGGCTTGTGTACCTTGCATTTCTTGCAAAAGGTACGTCTTTGCTTTGGAACATTAACCTATAAATAAAATAAATCACTTAAACGATCACATCCATTTTTAGTTTCACAGTCAGATAAATTTAGTAGTCATCGAATATGCATTTTTGTAATATAAAAATTAAGGATAATTAGAAACAATCGTCTAAAAACTTGTCACTGATGTTATTTGCAAAATTTTGTTTACTGGTCACTGTAATTTGAATATAAAAAATAAATAGGGGTCTGAATATTCGGCTATTTTAGAGGTTATGTCCATCAAAGACAACAACGTGTTAATTTCACGATAAAGTATAAAACGATTATTAAAATATTTTAATAAATATTATCTCTTTAGTTATGTTAATTTCTTTCAATAATATATATAAAAGATTATTGATTTAATAATGGATTTTGAAAATAGCACAAAATACAAACTCCACCTACCATATTGAAGATTAATACGGAAAAGAAGAAAGTGCTGCTAAACGGAAGTGAAGTTAGAACGATGTTTACGCATGCGCGGATGCCACACTGTATACAATCATGTAAAAATTTGTCTTTTCAGTTTGTTTCTATTATGTTTATAACATGTCTAGAATAACAAAATCATGTTATTTCCTGTGAAACTATTATAAATAAATTAAAGGTTGAATATTTTATAAATATATAATACGAAAATAACCTCAACGATGTACATTCAAATACGACACTTAATCGATAAAATCAACTTTATATTAAGTATACGTCATAAGGAATGTAAGAAATTTTTTTCAGTAAAAAAGAAAAATAACTATACAGAAATAGATATGTTATGTTTTTTTACGATTATATAATACGATCGATAGATGCGTGGGCTTATTGCAAATTTAGAACAATTCACGCAACTTCGTAAAGTCAATAATTATGTTCTTATATTAAAGTCAGCTTTTGGGTTTTTTTCAAAACAAGTAATTAATAATTTCGTCAATTTATTTATTTATTTAAAAGAAGATTCGATCCATCGATTTGTTTCATGAGAAATCAAATGTTGAAAACTTGTAATTATTATGATTTATATATATAGATCAATCATAAATGAAGAAAAATATTTTGCTTTACGAGAAGATATATATTGGAACGCATCTTTTCCAACCTCAAATTTTAAGATGGCAGGTGTGCGTCTGCGTAACTCGAAAGTCACGCTATCTCTTTCCTTCTCTCTATCCCTCTCTACAAAACCATCTATCTATAGAATAATCGAGAGCGCGTTCTCGAAAGTGCATCATCGCATTCGCTTCGATACGTGCTTATTATTATAGTAAATTAGACAAATATCTTTTTCATTTAATCATTATGATTATTTGTTTTTTTTTAATAATTCGAGAAGCTTCCTTTCAAACGGGGGAATATTTATCGATTTTAAGGAAGAACAGGGTGTCCAAAATCGCCGCGTACGGATCGCAGCGCCAAAGCTTATTTGAATCGAGTGATAAAGCCTCGAAGCAGACGTTCAATGCGGGCTGTGAACTCTCGAACCCCTCGTCTTATGCGATATTTTATTTCTTTTATAGACAGGACGAACGCGTTGCTTGTAATATGATTTGCAGAATTCTTAAAATATTATCTGCTTTTAGAATTTTCCCAAAAGGACGCAGTGATAGGATTCCATATAGTATAACGTTTTCGACCAATCAGGTATTTATCGAGTTTCAAAGCCGCGCCATCTTCATTTTTGAACAAAGCCAGGTTGGATGTACTAGAACGAATAGAGACCGAGTAGTAGTCCGCTTCGCGCTATTCGCGCCACCACGATCCTTAGTACACGGTTCTCTTTAAATTCTGACTGGTTCGGTTCTGTCTCAAACCTGCCTCTTCCCCCTCTTTTTACCGCTCGCACTTGCTTTTCTCTCTTTTCCTTTCTGTCTCCTATCTCTCTCTCTCTCTCCCCCACTCTCCCACTCTCTTGCTCTGTTCCTCTCATCACTCTCTCGCTCGCTCTTCCCCGCCGCCACCAGGTCGTGGTCTTCCCTTCCCCTATCCCCATACTTCGCCTGACGACGCTGCTCTCTCGGGCATTTCAGTGGAAATTGACGACGCGTGAGGACTGAGAGTTTCGTTCAACGCGTTACGTACTATCTATCCTTTTTTTTTCTCATCATTCCGCAAGCGGACACGCAGGCATCTAGAAGTATCTCAGGATTCCAAGTGAAGAAGAATCAAATACAAAAGAATTCATCATGAGTACTAAGGAAAACAACGAAATCGCCGTAGAGAAAGTGGCAGAAAACGACAAAGCTTCTGCCGACGCGAAATGTGAGATCAAGGGAATCAAGAGGCCGGCCGAGGTAAGTGTCTCTTTCATTATTCTTACTTTTTTCTTTTTCTTTCTCGTATTATTCTATCTGACTGTGAGAGTTCTCAATTTATTTCTCTGCTATCAATCTCGCGATATCTTATGGGAGACTCTACGAACACCTGTGATGGTCCTTCGGAATTCTCTGGCGCGTCATCACGACCAACGCTCTTACGTCCATCCATCCATTCATCCATCTATATATACATCAATTCGTGCATGCTTGCATGCATCCATGAATCTATCCTATCCATCCATGCTCTTTCGCGTGCAAGAAACGAGCGAGGGAGGAAAGAAGCAAGCTAAACACCTTCCTTGCTATATTCTTTTTGCCTACGAATCCTTACATGCATGCATATCGCAGATATAGCCGAGGGTCGTGCGCGCGTGCCGCCTTATTCTCCCGCTCCTGCGTCCGTTTTTCTCCCTCTCTGCGTTCACAAGCTTTACGTGCGCGTACGCGAAGCGTAGCCTCTCACTCTTCGCTTATTTTATCTCCTCTCCCCGTTCTTCCTATCTATTTATCTATCTCTCTTTCTCTCTCTCTCTCTCTTTCTCTTTTTTTTTCTTTCTTTCTCTTTCTTTTTCGTCGTCGTCGCCCGCCAAGCTTTCTTACGTTTCGTGATCTTGCGCGCCTATCTTCGTTTATCGTTCTCTCTCTTTGCGCGCGCACGCTGCTCACACGCAACGCTTATATGTGTTGTATATCCTACTTGTATGTATATTTATATTCATTAGTTATACATACTACTCTGTGTACATAAGTATATATCTCCTCGTGTGTGTGTGATATCTCTATGCGTGGATACGCGCGCGCGCGCGCCTCGGTATAAAAGCATGTGTACTATGCTACACGAAATGACGATAAGGGACGGTGATGGTAATGATGACGATGTCGACACATCGGTAGCTTCTGGCGGCGACAAACAGCGGTAGCGGTGATAGCTATGCGTTGCAACGGTGGCGGTAGTAGTACGCAACGAAGATGCACAATGCCGGCCGGCATTTTTTCCCCCATCCACTTTCTACGATTAAGTCCATTTCTTCGAAACGATTTCTCAACACGTGATCAAACTTTTCATCGTATTGCCATTTCTAAACAGGGAAAAAACTTGTCTATATGTTTTCCATTTTAAAAAAGTTGTACTAAAAACATGAATGGAGGTAAAGGACGCCATTGTAATGTCGCGTGGCCGCCACGAGTACGCCACCGAACCGACTTTACTTCTGTTTGCTTTATTTTTCTTTCTCTTTTATTTCTTTTTTCCTTTTGATATTTCATTTCTTTCTAGAAATATTCGGATAAAAGTACGAATTTTGTCGTTTTACTCATTCCTTCTCTCATCGTCCCTTTATTTTGGCTATACTCTCCGAAAGACGATTTTTTACGTTTTTACGATGTTTCTTGTGATACCATGTGCTTCTTCCCCCTCCACGCCTTTTCCCGCTATCTTTAATGTCGTCACTTTTGTGGTAATCGTCTATGTATCGTCTATTATTGTCTCTTCGAAAAAGAGAGTACTTTTTGTCTTCGGAACAATTCCATTCTCTTCTTCGTGTTAATTTTCATCTATTGGCTACGCAATTATTTTTATTATTCTCATCGCGTAAAATATAGTATAAAGGTATAGATATTATTATTTTCTCGAACCGACGACGACGCCAACGCCATCTTCTTTGAAGTCCATTATGGCGCCCGAAACCAAGCCCGCGTTCATATCTCTGTCTTTCTTGCACATTCTCGCTCTCGTTCTCTATCCATCTGTCTCCTTTCTTCTGTCGTGCCACTCCCCTCCCACCTAAACGAAGCGTGCTTCTCTCTCTCCCTCTCTCTTACTCTTCCACCTACCGCTCGTCATTCTCACGTTCTTTCTCCCTCTCGCACACTGTCGTAATTGATCGATAATTCGCCGTAAGCGGGTTAATCGTGTCCGGCGAATAAGACCGATCGATAAGGCAACGCGTACATCTCTTTGACCGATACGTTCCTTTGAAATTGTTTACAATTTTAATTGCATAAATATCACGCCAAGGGACTTTTTTTTTTTATACTCGTCGTTTCTCTTTCATTTTCCTTCCCCTTCCCTTTCTTTCTGTTTTTCTCTTCAGATTTAACACGAAGAGTGAACAAGCGAGAGAAAAAAAGAAAGAAACTACGCACACGTGTCGCTCTCGCTTCTACACATCTCTTCGTAATATCTAACATTCGCCGCGTCGTTTTTCCCTTGCCAATGAAAAGCCCGCGCGCGCGCGCGCAACTAGCGGCAAAGCCGGGTATTATATACCCCCGTGTGTTTCTGTCTCCCTATTCTCTTTCGCTAAGTAATATCGTGCCAGAAACTACGCGAAGTTAACAACAATCACGACGACGACGACGACGACATCCTCGTTCTCGTTCTCATATTCGTCGTAGCAGTTATATGAACTTTTGAGAAAACATCGGTATGATTTTCTGTCTTAAATCATCTCTTCGTTATCTCCATTGGAAGTAAATGTTATTTTTAGAACGATTAATTGATCCCTACGCACTTTCGTCTCTTATTTAAAGCTAGGGGAAAATAGAGCTTACATTCTCCCCTTATTTTATTCAGGCGCGAAAAATACCTTGAAGGGGGTTTTTCCCTTATCCTTTCCCTCTCCCTCTTTGTCTCTTCTTTTCTCTCTCTCCCCCTCTCCCTTTATCTCTCTTTCTCTCTCTTTTTTCTGTCTTTCTTTCTTTATCGTTTGTACTCAACGCGCCTTTCTCCAAATTGTTCATATTTGATTGTGAACTCTGGCGCGAGAGGGAGGCGAAGGTAGCGCTTAGCGTCGCGTCGGTGCGCCCGCTGTCTCCACCACCGCTACCGCCACCACCACCACCGCTACCGCCACCGCCACCACCACCACCACCACCACCACCACCACCACCACCACCACCACCACCACCACCACCACCACCACCACCACCACACTATCACCATACCACTGCCGCACGTACGTCACGTGGAAGCGGCACGCTCGCGCGCGGGGACGACGCTTTGAGCGTACGTTTCTGAACCACCGCCGAACGCCGCGCCGACTCGCTTCGAGGTCGATTCCCGTGCATCTCGTATGATTTTCTGGGGAAAAAAGGAGAGAGACGAAAGGAATTTTTCTTCATCGTTGAACTTATCGCCTCTCTCTCTCTCTCTCTTTCTCCACTTCTATTTGTAATTCTATAATCGGCTTAATACGATCGTTATCAGTCCTTATAATTCTTATGAAATAACATTCGCTTGCTCGGTTATGTCGTCGGATAATGTGTATTAAGTATCGCATAATTTTTATCAACTTGATTCGTCATATTTTTTTATGAAGCTTTTTATAGATGTAGGTAGAAGAACAAATTAATTATATCTTTGTAGAGTTTATTTCTTTTTTATCGTTATGTGAAAAAATAGATTACTTTATAAACTTTTTTTTTTTTATTATTATTTTGATTTAATGGCGTCGTTATATTATATTAAAAATATACTGTCAACTATCGATTTTTTTTTTTTTAGAAAGACGCGCCAAATACGAAAAATCGTGGGTTGTGTAGGAAAAGAAGAGAGAGAGAGAGAGAGAGAAAACAATTCGAAGTTGAAGGTCTTTCTCGAAAAAAATGTGATTATTCTTATATTAGTTTTATGGCGGGAAAAAATGGAGAACGTCTCTTTCTCTCTCTCCTTCCCTCCCTCTCTCTTCCTCTGTCTCTCTCTTTCCTCTTTTCGCGATAGGAAACGGTTGTAAATCGATGGTCAGTCGAGCCTAAAAATAAACTATCCGTTTTATGTGGTTATCATAGCATTGAGAATCCCGCCTTAAATTTCGATCGTATGTTGCCGCCGTTGCGACTCGTACGAATTATTCCATTACGTGGCTCATCGTAATTAGATATCATCACGATTAGTAGTTTCGCTCGCTAAAGAATCGTTTTATTTAATGAATATTAATGTGTTGTTTTTGATATGTATGAATTATTCTTGTTATTTATCTTCATACAAAACTTCACAGTTGTCTTGTTAATTTTTCACAATATTATATACTCGTGTATATAAATATATGAATATGTATATCTATTTCTCTTTCTTTCTAGCAATCTATATCTCTATTTCTATTCGTTCTTTCCTAATGTTTCCTGTTATATATTTTTAGTAAATTCTCGACCTTGATCATAATTATAAGCATTTTCTTCAAAAGATGAGAGTGCAATCAAATGTTTCGGAAAGAGAACATTATGACGAATCCACATTTGAACATGTTTTCCTGTGTAGTGTGTTGTTCGTTTAACTGTAATAACGTTTCAAATTAATTACATAACTCTCCTTAGCTCGTAGGCAATTTCTTTCGAGAAACGTAAAAGAAAAGCGATCAAAGAGGAGTCCCGTACGGATAGATTATGCACGACTTGGGTTATCTGGTAAGACCTCGTGATTGTTTAACGCTACCGATAGGTAATCGTGCGCGTTCGTCTTCGGATAACAGAGCGTATCATGTTGCGCGAAAGCACAACGACTGTTTTGCGCGCGCGCATCGTTGTTCGCGTCCTCCGTCGTCGTCGTCATCGTCGTTTGTCGCTAGCGACGTTTTATGGAAACTCGCTCAAAGAGCGAGACTATCGAGACTATGATTATACATACGTATAATCATACTAAAGATCTGTCCACATAATCTGTTTGATTTGTAAAGAAACGTGGTCGTATCATAAGGAATTATTAAAGATCACTCACTAAATTTGTTTTCATGAAAATATAGATTTTCAATTATTATACCATTCGATAGATTTTTTTTTACTTAAAGTTGTTATTTTTTATATATTTCCTTTATTTATTTACAATTATACGAACAATTATGGTAAAAATTTCTTGAAATATCGTTCGATTCAATAAATATTTTATTCATAATGATTCGTCCTTGATTCTACTTGGATATTCTTTGACAAAGAATAAAATATTTATTATTATAGTTCAAAACCGCAGCTTTCCGTTTTGGTTTGTGTAAAGACAAGGGCTAGAACGAGATAGCCGACCGGCCGGCAATGGGCACGCTGCATTCTCGTGGGCTTCTACCCCTTTCACACTTTGGTGAAGCTTCTCCAAGCAATACGAACACGGCGGGGTTCCCTTAATACGAACTGCCAGTGCGTCGCTTCGTTTTCATCAGCCAATCGTTGCTCTCCGCTATCGCTGTGCTCGACGTTACAAGCCTTTTCATTGGTCTACGCGTCTTTTCCATCTGTTTTCTTTCTCTTTCTAACTATCGCTGATACATAAACGCTGGCACGCTGTTAGTAATGTTCAGGGACGCCTCAAGAGCGTAACAAACAAGGGGTGCTTCATTCACTCTCATAATGATTATTCTCAATCTTTTTAAGTCATCATTTATTAGATATTTATTTCTGTAAGTTTGAAATTTATCTACTAGAACGTACGATCATGTTTCTGGATAAGTAATGCATATTAACAATTAGTATTTTCAATAACTTAAAAACATTTCTTTTTATATTCTAAGTAATACGATTTATATAAGTTTGTTTTAAGTTATACAAAATTTATTTAAAATGCTAATTTTATATTTTTCTTTTTTCTACGAATACAATCAAAAGTCATTCTATATTTTAAAGTATTTTAACCAGTACTTTGTATTTTAAATTACTAATTATGATAAGCTGATTGATGAATTTCCTTTCAATCATGTTATTTATTTTCTTTTTACTCGCTAGTTTCATTCTATAGTATATACTCTACGCACAATACAATTCCTTTTATGATACACAATGAACGTCATAAAATTGTTTTTTTCTAACGAACTTTCTTATAATTTCGTTTTATTGCTTCCAAACATATTTTTTATCGATAAGGTCAATGCAACTGAGTCACGTGATTTTTCCCGCCATATTTGATATTATTGATTTTATCGATGTAGTCACGGAACAAAAGTATAAAAGTTAGCACAAATCGCCTTTCCTTTCATTTTTTATTCTTATCTATCTATTTATTTAACTATCTATTCATCTGACTATCTATCTATATACACAGACATTGTTTATATATAAATGTTCCATTTATTTATTCGTACAATCATTTACAGGAGAAAAATGACGAGGCCAAAAAGCAAAAGAAGGAAGAGAATGGTGATGGTGACATAGAGGAAGAAGAAATTGAGGAGGAAGTTGAAGAAGAAGAAGAGGTAGACGGTGATGGTGAAGAAGATGATGAGGAAGAAGATATACCAGAAGGAGATGAAGATTTGGAAGAAGGAGAAGGTTAGTGAGAATTAATTATACAATTCAATATATATTATATACATCAAGTTAAATTATTTCCGAGAATTATTAGTGGTCGTAAATTAACTATAAAATAATGTTGATACAGAAGAAGAAGAAGATGAAGCGGAAGGTGAAGGTGAAGAAGTGGAGGATGAGGAAGAAGACTCATAATGAAAAGAGTGGAAGAATAATGTAAGTAACAAGGGAGGAAGGCACGTGGCATCATCGTCGATCTTCGGCAATATTTTCAGCAAACACTTACTCTCATATTGAGTGGTTGGTAACAATGTTGATATCGATCGTGCCCAATCAATGTCACTGGATCATCCTCCTGAACTACAAAATAAAAATTACCATCTCACCGGAGTTGTGTAGGGCTGACGCATTATTATAATGCAGTCGCATTTCTTACTGTCTTGGCTCTTCGCAATTCTGATATCTTTTAGCCATCACCAAATACTATTAGGTCGTTCGCACGAAAATTGTACATTTGTCCTGAGGACAGCAATAACAATGATTAATAAATCCAACGTGTATATATATATATATATGTATGTAAATATATATAAATATAATAATTATATTTATACATATTTATACATATTTATATATCTGTATTTAGGCTCGTTAATATACCAATTAAAATCCTGGTATATTAGATGGCTACTGCTTGTCCTCGAAACAAATATGCTACTTTAATATGAACCACCTATTAAACTGGTATTTGCCGTCATCTGGCTTTCTGCAAAGAAACATTTTTTAATGAAACTTATTTAAGAATAAATAAGAAAAATAAAAAAATTTTATTATATTTAAATAGTGTACAATGAACATTTGAATGCGACAGTTTTTTTATATTTGAAATCAAATTTACGTTTATAGTTCAACGAATGTCTCTCACCTAGTGCGTGTGATTGAATTTTTTTTTTCAACTGATGTGTAATAGCAGTGTTTTCGCAGGAGCGCGAGGCTCGCAAAGTAAATCATATGATATATGAATGTGTGTGCATTAAGAAAAAACAAAACGGAACGAAACGAAATGACACTAAACGAAACTAAAGCAAAAATAAAATTCAACTAAGGTATAAATCGTATGGACATCTCTCGACATTCGGATGTGTATATATCTATATGTATACGCAAACTAGAGAAATTCATAAAATGAAAAAACAAAAAAATACAAAAAAAAAAAATACCCCCATCGCTTCGTGCTCCTGTAAAATAAAGAGGCAAGTATATTAAGGTTATGTAAATGCAATGTTCGCGTCAGGTAGTTGTATGGATGAATAATGTGTGACTTAAGCATTGCATAATAATTATACATAGTATGTATAAAGTTATGAAATAAGAAACATTTTATTATTAACGATAATATTATGTAACGTAATGTAACGTAACGTAATGCGGGGAGGTTGTTACTCTATAGATTTGGGCATAACGAGTAGGGAGAGCATTTATATATTCAATCCCCAAAGTTCACAATGACTGCTGCGTTCCATCATCGTTGTTTCATTTCTGTTAATTTAATCTATTTTATTTTATTTTTATGCAAACACGTCAAAGAACCAATCCTATATTTATATTATTTCTTCTTACAGTTATTTGAAATAAAAGAGGGAATATAAAGTATGTAGTAGCATTCTTTACAAATCTTAAAAATTATTTTATTATCGTTTAGATCACGTATATTCGATAGTATAGAAAAAGATCCGATAACTCTCCCTATTCCAATGTTCTCTCTCTCTCTCTCTCTCTCTCTCTCTCTCTCTCTTTTTCTCTCTTTCACTTTCACTCACTCACTCACCTTCATTTGAGCGTATTCGATTGTATTTTTATGTACTGCGGTTTTACTTTGACTTCATTGTCATGGGCTACTCATAGCAATGATTCTGATTGACTGTCGCAGAGAATAAGTGATTGGGTTTATTTCTAGTGATTCCTTTTTTCATTCGTGACGATCAATATCTTAACGGTAACGTTATTAATATGTAGCCGCAAAAATAAAAAATTTATCAAAGACAGTTTTAACAGATCATTCTTTACGCTTGATAGAGAATAATTATCACTTAGTTACATCCGACAGTCAAAACGCGATGATGCTCTTTATACGTTTAGTATCAAGAATTTTGAAGGATCACTTGCAAACACAGATGCGTCCATATTGTCAGTTACTTTTTTGGGAGACTGTTAAATAAGAAGAAGGGTGAAGAGACATTGCGGTTACGACACCATTGTACTATAGCTGCATAATAATTAAATAAAAATAACGATAATTTGATGAATGCGAGAGAATGTCCCACGTTTTAATGTACAAATATTTTCGAATGAGATAGTTTAATAAACACAGTTAGATCGGATAAATCAATTCGTTCTCGTGAAGTAGCAATGAGTTTTAATATTTTAATGAAACAAAAAAAAAAAGAAATAATAAGAATAAGAAAAAAAAAATAAAAATTATAAGAACAATCGCGGTTTTATAGATTGCCATGTCTCATATGACCGTGAAAAAAAAAGAATTGGCTGTATGAAACTTAAGGAGATGGACTGGACCGTGTCCTTTCGTGCTTATATTCTAGAGCACGATTGTAAGTGCGATCGTTTGTATGTATATGTGTGTATGCGTGCGTGCATGCGTGCGTGTGCGTATTGTATCTTAGACCTACGAGATCAATAAGAAAAAGACAGAAAAAAAAGAAAAGGTGTGAAATGAAACGCGAGCGCATTCAAAGAGACGCGATGAGAGATCGTCAGGCTGATTCTTTATTAATAAATACGGGCCAATACCATTTCTGGCAGTTTCTCTGTTAACAAAACATAACTACGGTTTTATACACAAACTGCTACTGTATGTACACGTGCTTGCTTCAAGATAGTACCTTGACTCTAATTGTTGACAAAGAACTATCTTAAAGTATGGATGCAAGAGAAAAGATAAAGCTGAGTACTTTAGCATTCATAGTATACTATACGTACACTATAAGTATAGGTTTATTTAATTTTATTAATATAATACAATGTCAAGTCCCGTTCGCAACACAACCAGAATAAGAACAAAATAAAAGAAAAGAAAAAAAAAATTTAAGACTTGCGTTGTGTACTACATGAAGCCAGAGAATATAAACAATACACATTTTGTTTTTTGCTCGAGTACTCAACGCGATTCAGAAAATACAATTTTACTGGTGCTAACGGGTCTTAAAATCAATCAGGCGGAATACGCCAAGATAACCGTTACATCTTTACGTTTGTTAGGTAAGCATGAAGATGGAAAAAATAAAATAAAAAAAAAAAAAATAACAGAATTTTGAGATAAAATCTGGTAACGATACACATCTTTAAGATTTAAACGTAAACGAAGTCTTAGGCTAAGAATTTGGTTTGTGTGTTCATAAATCTTGTTCAAACTACTTTTGTACAGGATACCATCACATCATCTCGTTCTCTCTCTCTCTCTGTCTCTCTCTCTTTCTCTCTGTCCCTTCTCCTTTCTCTCGACGTAACAGTAACCAACACCACAGACATTTTCTGCCCATTCCATCAGATTTGACTTTCATTGTATTTTTAAGTAAATACATTTTGAAAACTATTACAGATGTACCTTTTTATTCTTCACTAGCGTGTGAAGGAGAGTATCTCTTCCCATTTAGATTTAAAAAATATTTACACGATGTTATTTTTCTATCGGTATATTTATGAAAAATAAATAAATTATAAATAACGATTATTATGGGACATTAGTTCTTACTTCCATATCATTTATAATCCATATTAAACCTAGAGTATATATATATGAATACTATTCATCGCGTATTAATGCTTTTAACAGTTATATGTGTACTATGTAAGTATGATTTTTTTTATACACTTTTTAAATACAGTATGTTTTAACTAACATTTATAGTTCTCGTCTACTTGTATAAATAGCATTCTATTGATAACATTGATAAATTTGTTTTTAAGACTGAACAATGTAAATGCTAGTAAGATATGATTCGATATAATGCAGTGTTTATTATTAATAGTTGATTGTTAAAAAGTAAGACGTTATTCACATTACGTGAGATTTATAATTCATTCAGACAGTTATACAACAATGATAAATAATTGTATATATATATATATATATATATGTGCAATTTTCTATATTATATACGATACAATAATATATTATTGAGATACATTAACATCATATATAACATGGAATATATATTTTCTTAGTTAAATATTAAAACAACTGCGGAACGCAAGTTTTTTCTTTTATTTCTTTTTTATAATAATTTTGTAAAAATTATTAAAAATTGCAATTCGTTTGAACAAAAAAGATTAAACTTGTTATTTTCGAGAAATGGAAATTATTTAAATTATACAAAAATAAAAAATATAGATTTATTTCATACGTTGTATATATTTACACGTCTACATACCGTAGAATTCTGAAAATATTGTTCGATATTTAACAACTTTTTGTTTTCTATACACATTAAGATTTTGATTAATGTTACATTGTTGAGAAATGATAATTATATTGACTTGTAGATTACACTTCTCAGAATTATATGATGTTTTCGTGCGTGATATAATTGATAACATCGCGTACATTTGGACTTTGTAGAGTTTAAAAAAATAAAAGATAGGACAAATAGACATGTTAAAAGTAACAGTACAATGTACAATGCACTATTATATTGAGTATGCTAAATTGTTTATGTTCTTATTTTTGTAAATAAAATATTTGGTTATTATGCACGATCAAGTGTTTAACATGTTATAATCAACTTACATTTTACTAAAAAATTTCTTCCTATGTTTTAAAATTTGTCTTTATTCTATTAATAGAGATCTCTATATTTTCATAAAAATTGTCATTCCCGTTATACAAAATATTGGTTAGTAGAAATATCATGTATCTAATAATCATTCATTGTAATTTTATCACAGTTGTCCATTTGATTTTTTAAATTATTAAAATAATTTTCATATTCACATAAAAATATGACATATATTACAAATGAACAAATTTCAACCAACTTTTTGTAATAGTTAAATTTACGAGTGTAATAACCAGCAAAAAAGTAATAGACTTCTTTTAGTATTTACAATATCATTGCACTTTGTATCGTAATTTTAGTCATTAAAAAATAATATTTATGTACAAATCATAAAATACAACCTTATTTCATAAATAAAAAATATCACCAAAGTTAATTTTCATAAGCTGATTTCTAACATATGCAGAACTATTTAAGTGTCATCGCTTTTGTTATGTCTGTATATATCATTTAAATCACATAATTCTTGAATAGTATTTTTTGTTATATTAGTGTAACTGTCAGTCATGTTATTTTCTCCAACATTGTCTGTTTCCAATTTAACATTTTCGTTTTCTTCATCCTGAAAAATGATTTTTGAATGACTGTATAATACAAAGTTTTATTTAGTTATTCTTATGTACATACCTTTAAATCTTCTGATATAGATAGTCCACTTAATAAACTTGTGGACAATTCAGCATCAAAAGTTTCGAATTCTCCTAATCCTACTGTATTTAGAGTCAGATCAAAATATTGCTGATTGATACCTAAATCCGTAGCTATATTTATCTTACTTAGATCACCTATAGAATACAAAAAATAAAGTTTTTAATTTTTATATAAAAAAGTATAAACAACTATATGTGCATATCTGACAATAGTGGCAAAACCGAAACGGGAGTAGAGTAAAAAATGTAGAATAAAGTTTTTAAATATGAGGCTACGTTTTCGAAAGTAACACAATTTTGATAATTTATTCGATAAATTTGTACTTACCGTAAATTTTCTCTTCATACAAATAATTTCATAAATAATAATGAAACTATGTTTTAGCTTTTTTTTACATTTTCCAAGTTATTTTTTTGAAAACAGAGCCTTATACTTAAAAACTTAACTCTACATTTTCAATTTATTTGTTCATAAACAACCGCTCCCTACTCGATTGTATCACTTTTACCGGAAAACCCTGTAAAAAAGTATGTGTAAGTAATTTTACCATTATCATATATAGGTTCCAGGCCAGTATTTAGTTGTTTCGAAGTAACTTTGCTTAATAGCATTTGTTCTGTATTAGACAAATTACTTTCTGGTAAAAATGAATATTGTTCTGGTGCAGATATTCCAACTGAAGGTTGCTGTGTCATATTAGAGCTTGATGGTTGATACGAAGGAGGCAGATGTGTTTGTGTCAAAATTGGATTATATGAATTATATTCCATAGGTGATGCAGTTTGACATGGTGAAACTTGAGGTCTGTAAGATAAATCCAGTATTAACAGTGTAAAATTTTGTATTATAAAAAATACAAATGTTATATTAAAGTACTTTAGATTATATGAACCATATTCCATAGGTGATGCAGCTCGACCTGGTGAAACTTGAGGCCTGTAAGATATATCTAGTATTAATAATATATAATTTTATATTATGAGAGTATATATAAATATTGTATTAAAGTACCTTAGTATTTGCAAATTAGATAAAGGTTGAGATTGAAGTGGAAGTTGCGGCTGAGATGGAGATTGAAGTTGAGGTTGAAGTTGAGGTTGAGGTTGAAGTTTAGATGGAGATTGAGTTTGAGGCTGAGTTTGAAGTTGAGATTGAGATTGCAATGAATAAGATCCTAAGTTTGTAGTATATGTTCCAAATGATAATGGTCCCGTTTCTACTGGTTCTGGTTTGATAATATTGAAGTACTGAATATTTTGGTAAGCAGCTTCTGCAGCATCTATAATATAGCGTAATTAATATACTATTATACGTTATAAGATAATAAAATAAACAATAAATTGGCAATGCGCATAATTAGACACACATGTATGATAACTTCGTGCAAACAAAGATTAAATAAAAGATTAAGCGTTGTACAAAGCAAAACACATAATAAAGTAATTTTATTATTAGAAATGACAAGCAATGTGAATTAATGCGTCTATTCACAAAATGTCTATCAATAAAAAACAAATTAATTGAAATATACATAGATGATATTAAAAATAAATATCGGATAATTAAAATTTTTCTACGAAAAATTTGGTTACATGTTCATATCTTTACATTGCACACTATTTTACTAATTTATTTAAGTATAAAATAATCACAAATAAACATTTACACTAAATACAATTAGTTATTATTGAAAACACTGAAGTAACGAGATATCCGTACCTGTATTTCCTATACACAAGTGCATTTGATCTGAAATGTGTTCAACAGGTTCATGGAATAAATATACACATTTGATTGCCACTTAGTGATCATACATCTGTATAGATATATTATGTACTTTATACACATTATTCATATTATTTTGTTTACTCAATCGCTTTTTAAAGAGAAGCATTCTATAAAAATTGCACTATACAAATATTGCACGTGTTTTTTATTTTATGACTATATATAGTAAAATTATTACAATGATGTCATTTAAAATTTTTAAAAACATCATTTTACAAGAACAGAGCATTTCTTCAGAAATACGTATTTATTGTCACAAATCATACTAAAAATCAATGCCACAAATATCTTTATGTTTTTTATATCACCATAGAAATGCAATGATCTAAGCATTCTATATAATTTCACGTGTTTCTTTGCAAATACAAAAATACAATACACTTTTCTGAAAGTGCACAAAGTCACTACTTCTTACATTGCAAAGTACAAGTACAATGGCTTATATAAAATACATTTTTAAAAAAGTACAAAATGAAGAAGATTGTTAATACATGAAAATATGTATGTATTTAATCTTGAATTCCTTTTCACTGTGAAAATTGTTAGCAAGCAATTATATAATTGTATTGTTTAAATAGATTTATCATCCATTTTATTGGAATTAAATGCAACTGTGATGATATTCTTTCAAAGTGAAAAGGGAACAGTATTGTTAGTATATAATAAGATATACAACCACTGAATCGTTTAATATTCTCAAGAATATATATCTGCTTGCGAAAACTGCAATGATTCACAATTTTTAGTATTTTTTCAGTTTCTTATAACAATTAACAAATGTAGAAAATAAATCGAGCAAAGAGCATTAAAAATAGGCTTCTTTGGCTCTTTGATCATAGAGTTATTTTTTTCTATACATACATATGTCTGTATATGCACAAATATATAGACACAATCAATATTTTTTTTACATCCTAAATTAAGCAGTAAATGATTCATTATAAATTGTGTTTTTTCTAGAAATATTTGAACATGTTTAAATGATAATGAATGACATCAATGATATTATCCAACCCATCACCAGATAAGCTTTAAAATTGTTATAGATGTTAGAAAAATACTTACTCTTCTGAGCCTCTGCCTGTAAACCTCTCAAGAGTATCGCATTTGGGTTGTTATCAAACTTTTGTCGCTTTCGTTTTAATGACTCACTACTACCTAAAAAGTTTTTTATATTAACCATTAATTATTACAATAAGAAAATTTAGCTTTTTCAACAAAGGCCCCATATGTTTCGAAATCCTATAAATTGTTCGTTAACATTTTTCTACTAACAAATGAAAACCATATCTTATAAAATATATAAATATTCATATTACATAATTGAGTTTATAAAATCTCAAATAATAAGCAATAAAATAATTAGAAGATTAAGTTATATAAACAAGACAAAAATTCCAGCAGTATACTGAACATAACAAGTTATAGATACTAAGAGATAATAATAATCTGACAAATTTAATATTTTTAACAGGACTATAAAACTTGACTAGATATGGTTTCTACTTTGTTTTCATAACAAACAACAAGTGTCACCGACGGCATTTACATTTTATGCCGTTTTCAAACATCGTCTGAAATCTTATGTATGTAAAACGACACTTTTCCTATTTGTAAGAATAACAATGTGCCAGTATCTAAACCACTTAAACAATTGTGGTAAATATAATCAAATTATTAATATGTTAAAAATTTTAAAATGTCATTTTAAATCTAATTATTTGAAAATTTCTTTTTTATCATATAGTTATATTATAGCATAAAATGCATCATTGAAAGCAGAAATGTTTTTTTTAATTATTTCATGCTACACACAAAATGCAATATTATTGAAATAATATAATAGAATTTTTACCACTTTATGAATATTTTGAGTGCGATAATAACATAAGGAGGAAGGCATATAAAATGTTTAATGGCATTATACAGGTGACCCTCGTGTAACACGGTTTGTTAGAATCTTAAAATTAAAATGCAAATTCCTATATGAAACAGAGAGGTGATTCAAAAAGAGAGGTGGTACAAAAAAATTAAAAAATAAAAACTAAAAGAAATATTTTTATGAAAGCAATTGCTCTAAGGTAATTAGTCACTTGGTAGGTGACTGAGAATTGAGAAACGATTAATTGTCAAGATATTGTGATTATTGCATGAGACTGAGTGTCTAAAAAAGTATTCATATTTATACGTTTATATATATATTTGTTAAGCTTGTATACTTCTATTATAGTTGTACTTAGATAAAGTCTTGTGTTCATTTTTGATCACCCTGTCTCTATTCCTACATTACGTTTCATACTGTGCGGAAATTTCATTAATTCTCAAATCATGTAACAGTGATCTTGTTTTCTAAGAAGCCGTGTTAAACGGGATCTCCTAATATTTAGAAAACAAAAGATAAAAGAAATAAATAGTTAAAATTTTTTAAAATAAAATATTAAGATTCTTTTCTTTCCGTTAATATTTTTCCTCCCTCTACAGGACTATAATAAAAAGACATTTCATCGAATTCAGATGCTGTTGCATGGGGCGCCATAGTAGTATAAAGAGCATAATGTTCAGCTTCTGTTAAGTCAACCCCATAAGGTGGTGTTTCATCACCTTCTAACGTAAGAGATTTACTAGTAATACTTGCAATACTATGTCTAGACATTTGCGTTGCAGAATTATCTTGAATACTTTTTAACAAAAACGAAGCACTCTCTCCTGCATTAAATAAACGATTATTATTGTCCGTGGATACATTGGAAGTTATATCTTTGTCTTTTTTCATTTTCTTTGCAAATAGTTTAGAAAAGAGACTTTGTTTAGATTGTTTGGGTAAGGTACCAGGAAGAGAAGGTAAATTCTTGTTTGGAGCTTCAGAGGAAGATTCGATTATTGGTTGAGAGGACGTAGGCCGTGGTAAAACAGGCATAGAAGACATTTTACGTATACGTTTTGGTGGTAGGGGAGGTAATTTTTCTTCAAATTTTTGTGTTACATCTCTTTTCGTTGCTATTGGCGAAGAAGACAATGATACACATACGTCTTGTTTTGGAGTCGATACATCCTCATATTTTCTTTCATCAGGTATATCAAATAATTCTATTGGATTTTTCATAGCCATTTGAAGACTAGTATAAGTTTGATTATCACAAACATCGACATCCATAGATCTTTCAATCACGTTTTGATCAAGAGTAGCTTGTAACAATTTCGTATGCGTATCAGCGTAAATTTGATCTAACTCATCTACTTGAGATATCAAATCGTTCAACGATTTATTACCATCTTCCATTTCGTTTTTAATCTCAGCTGTATTTTCTTTTTCTTTGAAAGAAGCTTGATTTTTTTGTACCCACTTTCCTACTTCCGAATAATCAAACCAATCAGATTTATTTTTTGAGTTGGCAATGTTTTTATTTAAACATTTTGTATCGTTTGTTAAATCTAATTTTGTTTGAGAAATAATTTCTGATTGGTTATCAAGCGTCGTATCTCTATAATCGTTTGAAAATGTATTATTCTCTATACTAATATCATTACCAGTAATATACTTATTGACTTGTACATTTCCTTTAATCGTGCTATTAGAGTCAATTGGCATTTCATTATTATCATAATCAATAGAATTTTTCATAAAACATTCAACATTTTTTACATTGTTTTGATCAATGTCAGTACTTCCATTGTAAGAATTTGTAGTATTTCTAATATTATATAAGTCATTCAAAGCACGTAGTACTGAAATTTTATTATTTGATTTTTTTGTGTCTAAACTATTATTATTATATTCATCAATATTACAAGGCACTTTTGGTATTACATTGGGAAACAATGTAGCCTCGGTCGTTAAAATTTTACCAAATGTACTGTAATCTACTTTTTTTCGAGCAAATGCTTTTCGCAAAGACCAGAAAGCAGGCATACCTGTATCCAATGGTGACATTTCAAATGGATGTGGTTCACTTATTACACCATCTGATGGCCTCTTCAATTGGATGTAAATTTGTACTGGTTCTTCTATTTGTAGAATACGGTAACTAGGTGTTTTAAACACGATCGCCGTCTAATATTATAATAAATTATTTAGTAGTAGAAAAAAAGCATTAATTTTACAATAATAACGAAAGCACATTTTATACCTGCTTGTGGACATCCGTGGGTGCGAAATCTCCATATCCTTCCCAAAAAACATGTCCATTTTTTTCTTCAAAAAATCTAACTTGTATGTCTTCTTTAGCTACTTTCTCGCATAAAAGTATCATTTTCATACCTCCGCAAGAAGGAGCTCTATTATGACTTAAATGGTTGATCGAAAGGTCGGACATTGCCTCTATAATGATATATGTGTAAAACAAAAATGAATAATTTTTAATATGAGTAATTAAAGAAAAGATAAAAATTACTTTTATCAAAAATAGGATCTGATACTACGGGTTGTAATGGATGAGTAAATTTTCCTTTTCGTGTTCCTTCCAAAAATACTTGGAAACATAGTCGCACTGCATTAAGATCGATGCTAGTAGGTTGTTTTCTATGTTCAAAACCAGCTATAATGATAAAAGGAATAACATTAATAATAAAGTTACTATTTTAAACAAGTGAGTATTTTATATCTTGAAAGATTTACTTCGAAAAGGATCGACACGAATTTCTTCTCTGATTTTGAGTGCTTCCTCTATGTCTTTTTTCTTGACACATTGGATACCCAAATTAGCAAAAGTTACAGTCATGTTATCAGATGTAATTTCAAGCGTACAGATGCCTTGTTTACATGCTTCTTTGCCAACAAGATTGTGGGGATGAGGTCTGTATGGTAAATCTTTTGTTACACAAGATACAACTACCACAGCTCGACCTTTATAGCCTACTATCTGTATGAAAAATGTGTTCAATTTTTACTTTAGATAAAGTATTTATGATTTAAAGGAAATATTGTGTTAACTATTTCTTCTTGTTACTTTACACTTACTCTTATAGTAGGAAAAGTTTTGTTTTCTGGTGTACTGTTAATTCCAGGTATACTACCCGCAGATCTACCTTCACATTCATAACGAAAGCGCAAGCTTTTGCTTGCAGGTTGTTCTACTATCTCCACATAAGGTTGCGCCATGTGCTTTCTATCAACTTCCATTTTTTCTTGATCCATGTGTCCGTTAGATTCCACAAAACCAGGGTCGGTAGTTTTGATGACTTCGACTTCAAAGGAAAATCAATTGAAGTATATTATATAATCCACAGCTAGAACGATACAAGAATTATGAATACTCACTGACATCACTTATGTTCAAGTTTTCATCGCTTATATCATGTTCCATGATAACTGTTAAACTTTTGCTTTACAATAGTGAATTATGGCCATCTAACATATAGGAACAAACGAAAGATAAATAAACTTTGATATTATTTGAAATCTCATTTCCTACAGTTAATAATAATAATAATAATAATAATTTACAAAAAGAAATAATTGTCAGAAGAAATTTGTAGGTTCTGTTCAGTGATCTTCCGTCGTATAAATAAATAAAATAAAAGTAATAAAAAATATGATATCATGAAAAGTATAAAAGTTGTTATACTAGAGAAGAAGCATGCAGCAAGAAACATACTTTAATCACCTATAAATTATAACCAAAAATGACACTGACACTTTGCATTTTTTTGTCGACACTATATCAAAATATAATTGTCAATGAGAATATTACTACTTTATCCCGATAAACACACACACATATCTAATGAGAAATGTAAGGTTTTATTTTTCAATGGAGAGAGAAAATAAAACACAAAAGTAAAATATATTAGGAAGAATAACAAAAATTCAACCGGTTAGAAGAAGCTACCATCAAAGACTGATAATAAACGAATTGGTGTTCGAACCCGAACAGAAACGAACGGAAACGATTGAGAAACGTAATAACACGAAGGAGAAATGGCGCGCGACTGGATTTCCAGCTGTTCCTTCGAGAGAAATCGACAGCTGTTTTTACAAAATATTACATTCCTATGAGAATTGTATGCAGCTTACAAGTGTCCCATGAGAAAGCGAACAAACGAATTAAGGATGAGAAATAGTAGGGAAGAAGTAAGAAGAGAGGGGTTGTTGGTTTCTACGCTGAGCCAATCATTATTTTGGGAAGGCCTAGGACCGTACGGGTACTGCAGCTATTATTAAACTATCGTAGGACAATATGAGGAGACTTGCCTGCAGTAAGATCTTCTACATCGTTAACGGCATGCACGTTCGACAGACAGACTTCTTTCTTTCTCTCTCGCGTAAGCGCGCGCGAGAGAGAGAGAGAGATAGAGATAGAGAGAGAGAAGGAAAAAGAGAGGAAAATAGAGTAAATTAAACGAGCGTGGTTTCGTTTGTGTGTTCAATTTTTCCCTCTTTTCCGACCAAATAGTTAATCTCTATCTCTTTCTTTCTCACTGTACGATTTTTTTTTTCCAAGAATGAATAACCCTTTCTTACATTCTGATGCACTATACACTAAACAAACATGCGATAAGAGTTAACACATTATTTTAATCGAGATTTTCCTTCCACTTCTTCTTCTTCTTCTTTTAATTACAATCGTACTTTTTAAATACGCGTTTATCGTTTTTAATATATATATACATCATATACATATACTTATATAAGTATATATTATTTTTCATTAAGAAATATATAAAATAATATCTCAATAACACATTTGAACAATAACGATTGAAAAATATTATTGAACAAAGAGAAAATTGTACGTGAATGTTTTTAGAAACGAATGGTAAGTACGGCTTCCGATACGCGACACTCTGCTTATGCTGCTTTTCAACTACGATGATGATGAGAAGGAAGAGAACTCATTGCGCCGAAGAAGAGGGGATTGTTCGAGTTAAATTAAGAGGGGAATGGAAAAGTAGGAGAAGTATTACGAGAAGAGAAGAGCGCGTTATCGTCGCGCCTTTCCGTGCCGATTCCACGCCTTCGAGTTTGATCGGAGATATTCGGCGAATCTTAACGAAGATGTACGATCAATCCTCGATTTTACCCGATCCCGTTTACTCCTTTCGTTTCACCAATCTTTTCCCTGCTTCCCAACGAGATAATCGAAATTAACGATCGATCGAGAGAACGTACCACTCGTTTGGCGCGTGCAATTCTAAGAAGGGATTGCCTCCAACACTTTCTACGAATTGTATTAATCTTTTTATGCTGCCATATTAAAACACACGTTCTCTTTATACATTTATCTCATTGTCAATAATAACAGCGTAACATCAAAAATACATTTTTTTTCCTTAATTGCTCGTTCTTTTTTATTTTGAAATTTTTTTTTTTTTTTTTTAATCGATTATATTAATATTCCAAAACTCTCGAAAAGTGAACAAATTATGTACATTTGTATGTATTTATTATATATAAATATAAATAGTGGATATTAGATATGATATAGAAATATATATATATGTTTTGAAATTCGTTCATTTTTAAACTGTTGTATAATTGATCCCTCTTTTCATTTGTAAGTTTCTAATTTGACCTTGACTTTTTATCAAGGTCAGAAAATTGAACGCGAAGCAAACGCGAAGTTTCGTAGAATATAACCTTTGTCGGATTGATCTGCGATTACCATCGATCTTTACTACACCGACTTAACTTATTCACAATACTTGATTTTTTGTTTCATTTACTTTCTGGTATTCATGTTGTCTGCTTTGAATCAGGTTTGTGTAATGTATGTACATTTGTGTTATTTATTTATAAACACATTTATAATGATAGATACGCTAGGAATGAGAGCATATGTAACTCATAGAATGATTGCATTGATTATTGTCACGTAATGTTTAGAATTTAATAGAGAAGCTTTATACTTGAGTATGTACCTGAATTCTCGCGTGTACAATGATGAGTAATACTTTCTATACACTTCCCGTATATAATACAATATATATGTATATGTTTAGATATATTAGGTATATACAGGTGTTTACAGGTGTACACAGGTGTATTCAGGATATTGTAGCGAGACAGAAGATTAACAAAATCTATTGTTCCAGGTACGTTTAGGGTAAAAATAATTTGGTTATCTATCCTGGTTATCAGCATCATAGCATTTAAAACAATGAACCAGTAGATCTATGTGCAACGTGCATTCCACAAAATATTGTGGAATTTTATGAAAATATGCGTTTAACGACAAACATTTGTTATGAAAATCGATTTTTCTAATCGTCCGTTTCTCTGCTGTACGTTCTGTGTGTATATTATATTCATATGTATATTCAAATATTTTAAGGGAAAGAATGAGATCAGAAAATTGAAATAAGTAAAAAATGATGTATAGGGTGAGATAAAAGTCGCGCACTAATCTAATTTACTTTAATTTAGTATTTAAATCACTTCACCCGTAATCGATGTTCACATTTCGGGACACGACTTTTGGGACAGGCTGATCCTGTAAATTAGGATGTATTACTAATTGTAAGTGTATAATTATTTGAACGATTATTTCGAATATATTAAAAAGAAATTCCTATGATGCGTTTATTTTTATTTATAAAACATTCGATGTGAAGTTGGAAAAATTTGATTTCGGGGTATGGGAGATATAACGTTATTCGTTTCTTTTCAGAAATAGGTATATTATAATACATCCCGTAACCATGACAAAGAATAACGAAAGAAAACAATCTCGATCGCCAGTGCGAAGAGAATTTCATTCGCAAAATAATTATAAGAAAAAAGAAGCAATGCCAGAAATAACGCTCTTCTCCGCGAGTAATTCGCCTATTCTACACGCTCTGGCGAGTGCCAGTAAGGAAAATAATCCTTCTGGTTCCTCGATAACAGTAAATCTTAAACAATGTGTAAGGCATAAGCTTCAGTATTCACAATTGCCTATAAGATGTCAACGAACGAGCCCATATTATAGACCCGTCCGTAGTCCCTTCAAATTAGTCGGACTAAGTGCAATTAATCATAATAACGTTTCTTTTGTAACAAGTAAAAACTGTCCGGATAGCAGTCATACTAATTCGACCTGTTCTTCACCAATTTTACGAGCGATCGGTCCATCACGCTGTAAAAAAAGTTTATCCATGACTGATTTATCACCTACTGCTATTGATTCAGAGACAGTTGATTTCAGGTAAATAAATTAGATACTTAAAATAACTTTCTAATATTATGCCATCGTTAACGCTGTCGACGCCATGTTGAACTCCGATATTATTGACGCCATGTTTGACAAAATTTATTTATTATATGTATTTGTATATTAAATATTATTCATTTTATAGATCAGAGAGTAATTCGTCATTAGGACTTCGAGAAGATCAAGGAGAACGTAACAAGGACAGCGTAGGGACTGGTAACACTCTCCTAAGAATCGGACATCGAACATGGACAAATAATTTCTTGTCTACGAACATCGAAGTGGATGGAAATTGTTTTTCGCAAAATCCGGGAAAAGCCGCGAGTATAGTTTGTCATGTATTGGTATTGAATGCTTGGAGACGTAGACGAGTTGATGTCGGCCACCTTCAAGAAACTATCGATGAACTTACCCGGCAGATTGACCATCTACGTTTGCAGATCGTTGTTCTTCGACGTTTGCTTGACACAGAAAATGACCGTGTTAATAGATTAAGCAAGGAAGCTCAACGTTCTAAAACTCAGATCGAGGAATTATCTCAAGAACGTGACGTTCTCAAAAAGGTAAAATAAATCATTTGTTTAAGGCCTTACATACCTCTAGCAGCGCCAAAAATGCGTTAAAAAAATATTTTTTTATAGTAGGGATAACAATAGAAATTCAATAAAAATAAATAATGCACATTGTGTTTTTATTGGTATTTAAACTTTATAAAAAAATATTAAAGTATCCAAAATCCGGCTCGAAAACTATAGAGAAAACGATTTCGAATATTTAAAAAGAAATCGCATTAAAAAATAGTAAAAACTGTATGAGTTATCATGTAGACCGTGGTGGAAAAAGTAGTTTCGAGAAAAACACGTTTTTAGTTTTAAGTGTCTCAAATAAAGGACAGTCAAACTCTCGTCGGGCAGTCACATTTTCTACCATAACTTTGGATCTATGGGGAATATTTGCAATCGACTTTCACAGAAATAAGCCTAAAACTATAGAGAACAACAATCTGTTAACAAAAAAATCGACTTTTGGGAAATTCTGGACGTATGTAAGGCCTTAACTAATAATTAACAAGTTATCAAATAATATATATATTTAATTAATTCTTTAATTTGTTTATCTCCGATCATAAGCAATAAAATATATTTCATTTTACACTTATTTATTTCTTAAAGTAACTTGAATCGAGTTTGTGTTTTTGCTGAATATCAGGGTTTCATTCTTTCAGATTTTATTTTGTAGATTGATACAAAACAATGAGTTAAGAGAACGATTTGAAATCATGATAATACTTTTATATTAGAACCTAGACATCATTAATGTCCTTCGTATAAGACTTAAGAAGTTTATAGTTGCGCAGGTTTCATTTGGATAAGTTTGAGAATATGTAGCTAGCAGGTGTGATGTATGTGTAAAAGCGTGACACCCTCCGCTCTCGACGAATACGAGAGTTCAATGACGTGTTTCTAAGTAGGGGGATGACGCTACCAAGAGAACTTGCAAAGCATATTTTAGCCATGCATCGAAGAGTACATTTCAAAAGCTCATGTGATTTCCTTTCTTTGATCTTTTTGCGATTATATTTGATTGCGGTGACAAACTACTATTTTAACTACATCATAAGTTTTTTGAATCCAACAAATGGATTCTTTGTATCTATATATTTATTTATATTTATTTATATATATTTATATGTATATTTTTGTTTGTATATTGTAATAGAAAAATCAAATTTGATATTAGAAATATATAGTTCGTTTCTCTTTTCGCGATAGTCGTAAATAAATATATTCGTGTCACTGGTTTTCCTCTCCTTTTCTTTTACGCTTTGTATGCTTACATCCACGTTCACGGGTTCGGCCACGGATACGTGTGGCCAACGAATTCAGAGCATAGGGTGCTTACACAAGCGAGTATTTGGCACTATGCCAGCAGCTAATTATGAAACGAAAGAGCTACGTATATCGTACGGTGGTTGCTGTTTAGTTCACCAGTGGTCACAGGATTTTATCTGTCGGCTATGCTACATCTGACTTTTCACATATAGACAATTATTATTATTATTTATTTCCACACACAGATATTTTTATATATACGAACACAGTTGAAACATGATCCCTTTTATTTTATTATTTGAAGAGATGAAAAAAAAATCTTAGAATTCAACGTTAATACAGTTATATTTATTTATAACTATAAACGCGTAATATTTTTGTTTTCAGGAAAAAGATAAATTGGAAGAAGAAGTTAAACGCTTAGAAGATACTTCCGAAGAAAGATCGGTGACAACGGAAAATCTTAGAAACGAATTGCTCAATGCCCAAAATCAACTTCAAGCATTGGACGGACAAATAGCAAGAGATCGCGAAAAATTGTTAAAATTACGAGAGGACAAGAGGATTCTCTTGGATAAGGTTCATTAGAATTCAATCTCTTGGATAAATATTTTTATTATATAATCTATCGGTAAACCACGGCTACTGATAAGACAAGCACTAGTGAGGTAGTTTACTGAAGAGCTTCATCATGCAAATCCCTTTATTTCGCTTGAATGTAAATTACAAGTGGATAATACTGGTTGAGTAGTAGGGCCTTTGACTTGTCCGTAGTAGGTTGTTACCAATGCAAAGCTATCGAATGAGTCACCTATCTACTCAATGAAGGCTGATCTAGAATGAGGGTGAAGTCTCTCTTTTGATTCGATGCGAATTCTTACTTTTTTTTTCCAAGAAACAATGATTCACTCTCTTCACCCTCTCAATTTCTAACGAAATCCTGTATTTTTTTAAAGGCCATGTCATATTTTATACAAAAGTATAGAATCGGGTAAAGATTTTGTTTTCTTGTGTAACATTTTATTGTTTGCCAAATGATCGTTAACGATGATTCGTTTAAAATTAAATGATTTTACTAAAAATGCAAATGCATAAAATGCAAATACAAAAAATACAATATGCTAGCAATAAGATTTTGAATGAAATGAAATAAAATTTTCGTTAGTTAGGTCAACGTACGACGGGGTTGTAGAGAACCTCTGAGTCATACTCTTTGTGTTTCGTTGCTGACTCAATACCGCGTAATACTCTTTGGGTACTAGGAAAAAGGATCGATATTGCTTGCCCTATTAATTCTTTTACGTTGTAGTTTATTATTGTTGGTTAAATTTTACTATATATTAAAATGCTTTTCCGAATCTTAAGAGAGTTCAATTTTGTTATATAACAATTAGGAATAATTATTGATAATCGTGGCTGTAAAAGGATAAAATTTAAGTACGAACAGTATCCCAAATGATAATGAATAATTTAAAAAATAAGATTTTCTTTCTTTCTATTGTGTTTAGTTTTTCAAGAAGAAAAAGTTCATTCTCTCTTTCTCTCTTTCTCTCTTCCTCTGCATAATTTTAGATATCCGCAAGTGAAGCTTTAGCTACAGAACGTGGTACCAGAGCAGATAGAGCTGAATCTGCTATCGAGGATTTGCAAATTCGATTGGCTGCACAGATCGCACTTGTCGAATCTGCACAAGAACAGAATCAACGATATGCTAAGTATGCTATTAATAAATTTAGCTCAACAAATAATCTTACTATATTCTTTAATATTCAATCATTGTTCATATTGATAAATATTTGTTATAAAAATTTGTAATTGAAGCAATAGTTTCAAATGGAATGTTGACGAAGAAAAATAACAATTTTAATATCAACATTTTTGAATAAACAATGATATTTATTATTTAGACAATTAAAGGACACGGAAGATCAACGAATGATATTGGAGAAACAGTTACGATTAAACATAGAGGCGGGAAAAGCTTTAAGCTTGCGTACTAATATTCTTGAAAGTCAACTGGCCGATAAGGAAGCTGCCTTGCATCGTATCGAATCAATATACAATTCGCAACTGTAAGGTTTAACTTATCTCAAGTAAATAAGAGATTGATTTATATAAAAAAATATAATTTTGTTAATTTTCACATAAGAATGGAACTGAACGGATTGAAGGAACGTTTGATCAGACAATCTCAAGAAGGAGGATGGAGTAGTCGAGTTTTACAAATTGCTGGAAGCGTTGTTCGTGCACCACGAGCTATACTGCGGACTCTATCCTTTTTATCTAGTACTACTGTACCATCTTAATCGTTATCAGGTATGTTATTATCTTTTATTTCATTGAAAATTTTGTGTCATGAATTAATAATATCTTTTTTCTGTCTTGTCGTTTAGATAAAATTGTATATCATATAATTAATTTTGTATATCAATGATTAACATTTATAGGTCGAGTATGATTGGGGATCACGTTGAACGTCACTGACGATATCAATGTCAATGTTAAAAATGTTCGAATTTAGCGATGAGCTTTTACCTTTTGTTGATCACGAGATGAACTCTTGCGAAAGAAGTTATTGCACACTACGGGGTAAACAAAAATAGTGGGTCTCGTTTAGAAGAAAATTTGCAAGTAAACTCCTCAGAAGAAATATTGTTAGATTATATTTTTATTTTTAATATTTATTTATTTTTTCTTTTTTTTTTTGGAAACAGAAAAATTTACTCACTGTAGGAAAGAGAATCGATATTTTTATAATCAAGGATATTTCTAATAAATATAATCAACATGATTATTAATTTATAAAAATCATGTGGAATATATAATGATAGGATAGGGTTATTTAGAATGTATACAAATAAATAAATACTCGTTATATGCTTTTTAATCTATATGTTTTACACTTCTTTATTTCGCGCATTTTGATAAACTGATGAAAACAAAATATCGTCAACCCCAACCGCTAAGATAACGATGTGTGATCTGTCTGTTTACCTGAAGACGGAACTATTAATTATCTAGATTCGAGTTTGTATTTAATAAGTATGATTATCACGTGTCATTACGATTTCTTGATTATTATTTTTGTTCGTAGTTCTTTCTCATGTATGATGAGAATCCTGGTGTTTTTCGACAATACAAGTTGCAAAGCAATTAGAAGAAAGCATAACTTGAAATATGCTCAGCGGCTTATTCTATAGTATTTTGTTTATATTAAAGAAGATTTTTTTTTGGTGTTATTAGAGTTAATTTGAATGTTAAGCAACCACGTGCAAGTGTCATTGCTCTTTGGAAACGTACGATCACATTTTGCATTGCTATGATTTTCCTTTTTTAAGTACAAGATAGATTTTAAGCATCATCCACGACAGGTCTAAGTCAGATTCGTAAAATTTCTTAATTGTTTCCTCGTTTTTTTTTTTCTTTTTTGGTATTTATGTGTATGTGTATGTATGTGTTTTATTTTATTTTATACTAATCTTGTGATTAAGAATTTTCTATTTTCGTCATTTCACTTGACTCGTGTAGAACAGTGGAAGATTTATAATTATCACAAAATGGGGTTTCTTTCCTTTTTTTTTTTTTTTTTTTTATATATATCCTGAGTATGGTATCATGTATTATACAATTCTGAACGGTATATAATATTGAGAAATAAATTTATTTTTCGAATGGGGTAAGGGATAACATAATATATGTTAGTCTATCTGCAACGGCACGACAATCGTGGTCGTGATATTTTTTTCCATAAGTAAAACTTCTTATAAAACCCGATCCACAGGTCTCGATAGAAAGTAATAAGTATACTGTCGACATTAAGAAATTTTCTTTTTTTACCGCGAAACTCGCGTATGTACGTACGCACTAATTAATGAATGTCGTAGAGTATACTCTGAATGTACAATCTAAACATTGTCTTTTGCCTTTGGCTTTGATTACACTGTGATTGCTTTCGTTCGTAATTGAGTATATATAAAATATAATAGTAAAGAAGGAAAATAATTTATAAGATATGAAACGATTATATACAAATTATACGAAAATTTTGTATCTAATTTTTAATACAAAATTTCATTATATAAATATATATACTATAGAATATAAAGAAATGAGTAAAAAAAAAAACAAGAAAACAAAAAACAAAATCAATAAATGAAAAGATTCTACATCTTTTTCTAGTTTTTTTCCCTTTTTTTTGAATCAATAACAATAAATGCGATACTTTTTTTTAAAGTCTACGATAATATCTACAAAAAAATACTATGTTAAATATCTCAGTTTCAATTTATTTCCTGCAAATATTTGTTAATATTTTGCAAGTCGAATTATGCTGAATCTTATGGCTCGAGTAACGAAACATGTTAATATATTCAACAATACTTAGAATACCTTACTTATACTAAATTTTGCTTTGAGAAATCGAGCAACTTTTTCACTGATGATGGAATTATAAATTGCTCTTATGTTTTTTTTAGTATATAACGGTTTTTTTTATATAAAAAACGTTACCACAAGCCATTACATGCGGCATGTTCTTACGCTTAAATTTTGATGGTCATTAGCAAAACGTAAAGATTTGTTATTTAATAATACTTTAAACGTTTTACGTTTAACGAAATGCAGTTAATACGTTATTTAAGAGTATAAAAGCTTAACCATGAAAAAATATTATTGAAAATAAACGTTAGAATGAAAATGAATATTTGATATCAAATAATATAAAATAGGGCCACAACATACATTGTTTCAATTTTTTAACTGGACAAATTATATCGACTAGAATAGACTAGAGGTTAACGTGTATATGTATGTATGTGTGCATGTTTAGTTTTATTTTATATAGCTTTTTTTTTTTCGTTAGATCATACCAAAACCTTCGGTACCTTCACTGATTGCTAATAACAATGCTCGTTCAAAATGATCGTAGCACTCGTAATCAGGCAAGCAAAGTTGATTGAAACTACAAAATAAATTTTAATTGATTTTGTTAAATTAATTCTATTGAAACATTAATTTTATTTCATAGTACATACCATGTATGAGCTGTGGGTAAATTGGCAAATGTCGGTGCTGCTGTTATTTGAAAGCGTGGGCTCAGTTGTTGAAATCCGCCAGGTGGTAATTGGGAACAACCGGTAGTAAACTGAAGTAATCGTGCCATTTCTTCTCGCGTAAAATTACTTACTGCTGTCCAAAACCAATCGAGGACACGTAGAAATTCTGGAGAACTTCCATTAGCTATGTGATGTGCTCGTAAGTCTGCTACGCTATATTCACCGGTCCCACATAACAGCAACTGTATACAAAAATTTCATTGTACGGAATATGTACAAAATATTAAAGTACATTTGTATAATGTATTGATTCGTACTTCTAATTCATTTTCATCAAATATGCCTAATAAATTGTCTGGAATGAGTTCGTTGAGGCCACGTAGAAAGTGATCAACTTCGTTACGAATCGAGCTAGCGAGTCTGTGCTGAGCCAATGCATCTAAATATCGAAGTTTCGTTTCATTGGTAACGCGTACTTTACTACCACCAGGAATTAATTCTGCTACCTATAAGAAAATAAAGATAAGTTGCATTGATTAGATATGAATTGAAGTTTATGACTCACTTTTAATAATTGACCATCCTTATCATATTCTTCTTCAACAAAATACAATTCCATTTCTTCCACGTCATTCTCAAGGATGTATTTCACTTTACTCAAATATAAATCAGGGTCATCTTGTTCGAAATACTACAAAACGAATCGTTGAATAACGAGTTATGGAATTTCCAAACAATTTAAACAATTCCGAATTTTTACAGATACCTTTACCTTATAATGCACTCTAAGACCTATAATTTGTGCAAGAAAAGATCTTGTAAATCTTGCTCGTACCAATTGCCGATACGATCCACCAAGTGCCGATTCGTATAAACATTTGCCGACTATGCGACCAGCGAATTCGTAATGCTTTAATTTAAGATGAGCAGGCCGTTTACTGTTAGGATGTACTAAAGCTTGCTGAGATTCACCAAATGATGCAAACAATCCATTTCCTGGATCAAATAGAGCCGCGCAAATCAATTCGAACCATTCGCGGCGTACTCCACCCCAGTCAACTCCTACATTTTACAATAGCGATATGAACAACATTAAGTTACAATATTTGTATGCATGCATGATATTTATTGATTGTTACCTTGTTCGCCTTGAAACGTTATCTCAAAGTTTCTACACCAATCGCTAACTGAAAATCCTTTTGTAGCTTTCATCGACTGAAAATAAAATATAATGCACCACCACAACAAAAACAAACATGCATCTATAGAAAATGTTTGTAATAAGAATGATTTGAAAGAATTTTTGCAATTACCGACTCTAAAAGTTTGTCTCGTTGTACTTTCATCGATAGCTTCTCGTGATAATATTTTTGGTGATGTTTTCGAACTTCGTGATAAAAAAAATCTTGTTTATCGGCGAAGGTTTCGCTACCACCAATATTTTTAAGAAGAAACAATGTAAAGGTAGCGGCTATTATGTCACGATATAAAGAAATTAATTCGACAGGTGGCTGACATCCGTCGTCTATCGAAAACGAATGATATCCCTCGTGTTGATTGTTCGTACAGTCAAAATGAAACTGAAACGTTAAAGAATCATATGCTGTAATTCATATTTTAATGATCAAATGAATCATAAAATAAATTTACCTTAGTTGAAGGACATAATCTAAAAGTAACAAGTCTTTTAGGAATGAACTTTAACAAATATTCCTTGATCGTTAATTGTTTTGGTGATATATAACAAAAGACCTTTTTTGGCTTAGAGAATCTTTCACCTTGCATACCTAATAATTTAGCAACGTAACATGTATCTGGATCTTTAGAAGCAACATTACTGTGAACCATTCTTGCAACGGAACCTACGAAACAAAAAAAACAAGAATAAAAAAGAATATAAAAATACAAAAAATGGATATAAAATTATAAAACAATATAATTTGACGTACTTTCCAGAACGATAATGTCAAAGTCTCCATTATGTAATTGTAATCCTGCGAGACTAACGGTCGCATGATAACAACCACCTTTCGGAAAACTAACTTTCAATCGAACTCTTTGATTTGGAGAATCGTAGTCGAGATGAATTGAGTAATCTATAACCGATCCTTTTTCCGCAGGATTACCTATCTGCTGTTAAAATATTCTAATGAATATCATCTCTCTCAATAATTCAACGAATATCAATTATAATTTCACTTGCCTGAATAATATTGACATCGTACCCTTTAGTGGGTTTATCGCCAGGGCCAAATACGCATAAGTTATTATATTCGTCTCGCGGTTCTATTGTCATTGAATGTGCAATACCAGCTGTACAAACGACCGTAGAACTTTGACGTACGAAGACGGTTTTATTTGGATCTGGAGGTCCTATAGAGGAATAGAAAAAAATGAAAATCAAAATAAAAGGAGAAATCAATTTGAATATCGATTAATTTTAGAACATAAGTATGTTTTTACCAGGCAGAAAATTTTTAAGAAATGGACTGCCATGAACGTGACATGATCCAATAAGTACAGCTATTTTGTATTGTCCAGCATGGCGGACGGTGAACTTCACTACTGCAGTATTTGCAGCTAAAGGATCGGTACCTCCTAATTCTATTAGAGTAGCTACTCTCCGCGAGCCTTCTGTCACTTCCACAATGAGATTATCTTTGTCGCAGATCGGATATGGTTGACCATTTCGTTGGTAGAACTAAAGATGATAATATTTAAAAAAGAATTTTTCTTTTTCGAAGGAACAACCCAGTTATTTCATCTTTTGTTTACCTTTACAGTAAAAGTCATTGTTTCTCCTACAAGTTGTGGTTCTTCCCACTCAAAATGGACACGACAGTTGCTCGGTAATAAATATTTCCCAGTAACATATTGCAATAGGGAGTGCTTAGCTTCTGGTGCTAATGCTGGTTGTGTCATAGCAGCTAAAGTAACTAAACCAGCTACTGACACGGATACTACTAACATTCCACCTGGGTAATGTTCGAAGATAAGGATAATGATAAAGAGTAGATAAACAACAATAACAATGAGACAGATTGCAAAGATTTAGATGATCGATATTAACGTTGATGAGATAACAAAAGCAGGAAGTGTAATTATCAATGATGAACAATGCAAAAGATATAACGTTTAATCAAATATACCCCATGTCCAAGCGTCTTGATGTTGACTGTTTTTTACAACGGCACTCCATAGATCTGCTTTCAAAGTTTCTAAATCTCGTTTCGAAGTAGGTAACGCTTGTCTGGCCTGAATCCATCGTTGTAGGTCCTTGCCAAGCGTGGCTTGTGCCGCAGTGTCCTCTACCCAATATACGTCTTCGAGAGACATAACATCCATTTGCATTAGCCTGATGAGACAGAGATCGGTATTGTAGAATTTATACTGAATAATTTTTATCAATTTGATCATATCGAATTAAAATTGCTATCTTGATAAGAAATAATAAAAAATTGGCTTACTTTTGATAATAGCTATGTAAGCCATGATCTGCCAACCATTGACGCAACACAAGCCGCTGTTGCAACAAACGTGCTGCACGTTGTAAACGTTCTTCATCCTGTGCCGGAAGCTCGGGTAGCGCGTCGACTTCACCACAGCTGGCGAGGGTCGAGATACCTAACGACATTGAACCAAGTCCGATTGAAAATCGATTTATTCCGTATCTTTAAATTAAGAGATAGTATCAAACAAATAACAGTTATTTTTATTTTTATTTTTATTTTTAAACGAATCACATTATTCAAAGCAGAGTTAGGAATCAGAATACTGTATTTATGTAATAATTGTTTCAGAGATAAAATTATATCACGAAGCGGAAAACGTTGAAGATAGATAATTTCGACGTTGAAGGTTTCGTCCATCCTAAACGAGCATTTCCGTTTCATTTATAGTTAAGTGATCATTTAGAGTAGAACGAAATTGAAAATTGTTCAGAATGAATCGAATATTCCTTGTGTTATTTTATATTTTTAATTTAGTGGTGATAGCATTAGCAACGTGTACCGTTACCAATTATGAAGAAGGTGAGATGATCGTTATGAAGTTTCCTAATACAATTATATAAGTGTAAATATATTCCCATATACTCGTCGACGCTTTTAAAAGGCAATAGTCTTATTAACATAATTTCTAAATTGTCACGCGTATCGTCACTTGTTGACATTTAGTTATACCGATTGCGAACGTTTACATTTGTATCAAGTTTTCATTTATTATCGAATCAGTCCTTATTTTGTATTCGATGCATTGGGACCGCGTGCTCTGAATAAAATCCACAAACAAATAATATTAAGCATATTCGTATTCTACAATCTTCCATCATTTTTTACAATAATAATAATAATAATTTGTGAACACGTTGCATAAACTAATAATAATTATTATTTTGTCAACATAAAGGGATTGGGAATCGAGTGAAGTGTTTAAACGAAAGCCTGTCAAAAGCACTGGATCAAGGAAATAACGTAGTAGCTGCGATCTTGATCATTCAATCGGATATACGTCAACTCCCGAAAGACACATTTATAAGATACGCCAAGACTCTGGTGGCTCTGAACTTGCACTACTGTAATATCAAGGACATCGACGACGATGCTTTTCGTGGTTTGACTTATATCCAAAAACTCAGTCTCTCGAGTAATAACATTAGCCAAGTAAAGGATCGTTGGTTCCGAGAAATGAGTTCTTTGCAACAGTTGGATTTATCTTATAATCAGATAAAGACAATTCAACCTTTAGCCTTCATACCATTATCGAATCTTCGTAGACTCGATCTTAGTGAAAATCAACTCGGATGTTTGGAAAACAACGTTCTTCAACCATTGAGAAGTCTCGACAAATTACGTTTCCATGGTAATCCATGGACCTTCGAATGTCGTGCTAAGGTAAACCGGAACGGAGTTCTTTCCACATGATCAGACTTGTCAAACTGCCAATTCTTCGACATTTTCCAATTTACGTACCTATTTCTCTTTTATTTTTTTATTTTCTCTCTCTCTCTATTTTTCAACATTTTCAACATTATTTTGTTCTTTTATTCTTTAGGAAGCAATCAATCGAAAAAATGTTATATATATATGTATTTGAACGTTTCAGCTTACTCTGTGGCTACGAGATCACGGTGTTAATTACAAGATCGATCCACGTGGTCCAGAATTCTGGCTGGACAACGTACTTTGGCTCTGTGCCGCGGACGATTCCATTCCCTTAGGGGATAAGAACGAGCAAATGGTGGAATGCGTCATTTTGAATCTTTTCAATCAATTACGTACAGTTTGGACGTTACCCGGTTCACCCTCAATACCGCAACAGTGTTCACAAGGGAGAAAGGATCTTACGAAATGTTTAGTCACCGGTGGACATAAATCATTGACGTATTCTGCTACAAATGGTGGATTTATTAAAAATTTACTTTTACAGCTTAGAGAATCAAAATCGAGTATTTGATTTTATTTCGATTTTTATTTTATTTTTTTTTGTTTTCATTATGATTGCACGAATTTTCTTCTTTTCTTATTTTAAGTTAAAATAATTAATAATATTATTCGTTTCTCTGCCTGTCTGTCTATTACAAGATAATAAATTTATTCTCTCTCTGGCCTTGAAGAGAACAAGACAAATGATGTTGTTCCGTCTACCGATCTTATTAGACATTATCATGGTATGAAGAACTTTCGAGAGAGATCTCTCTTATATTCAAAGAATTAATCATCGTAATAGAAAGTAAGATCTTTTGATAACAATTCTCAAGGAAATACCACTTGGCATCTATTATGTAAAGTATACTTACACGGATCGTTCCCACCAAGTTTGTTCAATTGTTTTCACCAAGAAATAATTGAATATTTATATATTTTCCTCTAAAAATATATGTATAGAAAAAAAAAAAATATTATTGAACGATTTTATCATTCACGGTATAAAAAGAAAAGGGGTGGGCTGGTGGCCACGATGATATTTTGTTTGATCAAACTGTCGAACGATAGGAAATGGGTAAAACGAATAATAGACAGTTCTCTTCTCATATATTTTGAAAAATATACGTCAAACAATTTATAAATCTTGAGTAAGAGAAAAAGAGACACGAGGAGACAGACACATGTGAGAATAAAAATATCGTAAATAATGTAATATATAAATCGATCGATGTCGGACTCACCGGATGAAGCGCTGCCGCTGGGCCGCAGTGACATGCCAATCGACGATATCTCGTCAACAAATAAGTCTTTGTTTTCGCGTTGTCCATCTCGACAGCTTGGATTTTTGTCCGGCATAATTCCTTCGGCTCACTATATTTCCCTTCTTATCAAATTTTTTCTCTCTCTCTCTCTTTATCTCGACTAACAATAAGATGTATTTTCTCCGCAATGCCGTTGTCTGTCGAATCTCGCGGTCATCTTTTTTTGGGGAAGGGGAGAAAAAAATTGTTGATTGTTTTATCGCGAAAGTTTGTTCATCCGTTTTTTCCTTTTTGATTCGACGATATCGCTTTTGCCTCGAGTTACACTTTTATTATTATACAAATCATTCTATACACGCGTAGTTTTGATTTTAACGAGTGGAAAATTATTAAAAATAATCAAGAAAATATAGCGAGTAGAGACATTGATTGTGAATTAGGTTTGTTTATTAGAAAATTAATAGATTTCCTGTTATATTTAACATTCACGGGTACGTAACGTCGTGTTTATCGTTTTTATGAGCAAATATAATCATTGAATTAATCTGTACTAGGTGATTCATTTTAAATTATATGGTATATGCTTCTCTGTTACAGTTACGATGATATATTATATGCTTTAGGTATATTTACAGCGATACTGTAACTGCAAGCTTAACACACTTTAACCGTGGCAATGTATTTTGATAAACATTGTTAAAGTTTACTATAACTCGATGAAATATCGATAAAAAAAAATTACACTGTAGGAATACGTTTGGACTGGTATTGATATTCTTTACAACTTTTTTTTGTTGAACTTAAACTATCAATTTTCATGCAAAAGAAAAATGTTATTATTTCCGTATCTTGATAACAACGTTTTCTACAAAATAATTGCAATAAATATTAGATTTCAAAAAACCTACTGACTTTTATTTGATACATTTTTTTTTTTATAAAATCAATAGGATTGGAAATATTCGGTCATATCGTTTAAAATGAAACACCCGATATTTACGTATACGTATATATATTGTATATTTCAATTGTAACTATACACGAAAGGTAAACTGGATTTGTTATTGAGATAGGGAGGATGTGTGTGTGTGTGTGCAAAAGTAAAAGTAATAAATTTAAATCGCATTAATCGTATGACAAATGCATTACAAAATCGCGTTCTACGAGCATATACAATGGGGGAGAAAATCGATAATTCACGAGAGAAATTAGTCTGTACGTTTTATAGAGCTTTTTCATTCTCACTTGTAACCGAAACGCGATACATCCAATTTATTTCTAATAAATCATTGAGAGGCGCTTTTTAACAGATATTTAAATATAGATTTCATAATTTATCGGGTTCATTGGGTTCGAAAAATTTGGTGTAATTCATTTGCACGAAAAAGAGGAAGAAGAAGAAGAAAAAGAAAAAAAAAAAGAAGGTCAAGGAGACACGCATGATCGGAGATTGGTAGCAACGATTTGTCAAAAGCAGTAATAGGATGCTATGAAATAAGGATACCTAAAAAAGGGGGTCGAGAGTCCACTCGAGGTCAAATCAGGGTCGCCATATCTATGATTTTTTTTCCCCTGTACTTCTCTTCCCTTTTTTTCCGTATCGTTAAAAATGTCGTTTCTAAAGCATCGAAAAATATCTGTTCTTCATACGTGAAACACTCAAGATTTTCATTTGGAACAAATAACGATTCTTCACAAGTTTTTCGATGATTCTAATTAGAATCGTTGCATCGTAAAAATAACGATTCGGGCAAATCGATTCTTTAGTCTTTTACAATTAGAGAAAAACAAGCAATATTTTTTAACAAGAAATTATTTTAATAAAAGTTCGTCTAGAAGCTTCACGTTATTTTTTATTTGAACACACATTCGCCATTTAGTTAATAATTTTCTACGTTTATATTTCACTTTTTTTTTTTTCCCCATAACATCAACGAGTTAACGCCGTTACGTTTCTGAAAAATGTTACCTTTTTTTCTTTTTTTTTTTTTTTCTCTTTTAATTATAATACCGAGACAAGAACAATATCACATTCATTACAAACGTAGGGGAAAAAAAATTCATGCCGGACCCTTGACCTTTTCGAACAGATATCCTTCCTTCGCTGGTATTACTTCGTGCTAACGATCCTTTCGGCGTTAAGAGAAAGAGGAGAACCAAAAGTAAAACCGGGGCATATGTATGTCACACATACTCATGATTATGCATGAGAGAGTAGTAGGTGTTATGAAGGTAGGCCAGATCGATTCGCTGTTTTCCATCTCTGCTTGCACTTGCTGCACGCGATACCGGGTCAGGATTATCAAATTCAATTTCCATTGTTTAATATCCTTTTATTCTTTCTCCTACGTTAGCCATACTTTGTAACGAAATATAGTATAACACGTCTTCATGATACGACTTAATTAAAAGACAAAAGTGTTAACATGATAAGAGAATTTTTCATACAATAGAAGAAGCATTTAACTTGTATGCCATTTTTAAACTGAATCATTATAAATAGATTAACAATACTACCAGTAATATTTACATTTTTTCAATGAAAGAAGTCAAACATTTTTGGTTTGTATACATATATATATATATATATAAATTTATGCAAATATATACTATCGTATAGATTTCTTAAACTGTAAACAAAACATTAAAAATATTACTTGTGTGAGATACGTCAGCGAGGTCGGTCGCACGTGTTTGGAATATTAGAATATTTTATCTTGTATTTTAACATTAGTCATATAATATTTTATTTATAGAACACGCATACCGTGCACACATTCCGTTCGTAATGATATTTGTAAAAATAATTTTTTCAAAATTGTTTTGTCTCACTTTATCTCTTGTGTGTAGCATTTTTTTGTAAAGCCAAGTATTGAATGCTATTTTAAAAACTTTACTGAACAATAGGTACGCGTTTGCGGGAGAGTAAAAAAAAAAAAAAAAATTCTGCCTATCTCTTTTTCCTTTTTTTTTTTTTTTTTTTCTTTTTTTCCAGAGTAACTTTGGAATTACCTCTTTTCCCGAATACTTTTTATTCCTAGTTTTTTAGTATAGCACATTAGCACACCGTATGTATGCATCGCGTGGGCGATACAAGGCATTTGAAGGATTTAAGAGTTTGCATATATTGTTGTAAGATGGACAAAAGATAGAATTGTTCGTTGTACTAATTAAAACTTTTTTTCTTTTTTTTTTTTTTTTCTTCTATCTTTCTTAACGTTTTAGGTACTACTGAGGATACATACACATTGTTCCTAATGAACTTAATTAGAGGATTTTTTCTCGTCAACTACGTTTGACCAGCTATCGAAGTATGTGTATATGTGTGTGAGTGTGTTGTGTGTAAAAGAAAAAGAGAAAGAAGAATTTTTGTTTAAATTTCAAATCGCGTATCATAATATAATCTCTAAATATTTAAAATAATTCAATAATTAATAATTTAAAATATCTTTTACGTTAACTTACAATTAATTCTCGAATGGGAATTGGAAATCCATTTATTTTGCAATGAAATTATAAACGTAACTCACATATACACAACCGTTATTACATTTGTCTTCTAATCATTCTAATCGGTGTCTAATCGGTTAAACGTATAAATAGAATAGCTTCCGGCATTGAAATTCGATTTCATTAATAATTCTCTTTTAGCCTAGTAGAATTTAACTACTCTTCATGAAACGTTTTCAAATAGACTTTAAATCGATTTTCATCTTCTTCTTCGTTTACGGATCATTTAATCGTAATACAAATGGAAAAGATATCAAACTAAAATAAAATGATCACGAAAGATTACTTTTTTTTTCAAATTCTATTAACTAAGAATAAAATAAAATAAAATAAAATAATAAAAAAATGTTATATCAATCAAAAGATTGTAAGGATCATCGTTTCAACGTTGAAGAAAATATAACATACATATCAACTATTTGACTTAAACCATGAAATCGATTGGTCGAAGTTCGCGTGTAAGCAAGGTGATAGTTGATAAAGATAAAATAATCGATCCCCTTTCACCGACCTTCACCTTTTTGCGCGTTTTCTTTTCGCACGAGTACGATCGTCTGACTCCGCGTTTACCTTCGAATAAACTTTCGGTAAAGTCGTCGCGTCCTTTATTTTCTTATTTCTTGTTTTCCGGTTACCCCCATTTTCCTTCTTTCGACAGCTTTATATTCAAGAAGCTAATTAAGATAGATTACGACGATAAATCAAATTGCATGTATATATTTAACGCGTTTATTTTTCTTTTGGGGGTTTTTTTTTTTTTTTTTTTTTCTTACACAATTCCGACTCCTTTCTCATTACTTTTTCTATACGTACAAAAATATTTACTTATCAACTTATTAAACGAGGATTTGTGAAATATTTTCTTTGAAAATTATTACGAAAGGATTTAACAATAAGCTCTTGTTCGAAAAACAAACAAACAAAAAGAACAACAAAATAAAAAGAAAGAAATAAAGTTTAACGAAACGATCTGACAGTTCCAAATTTTCTTAAGAGTTTATCAAGGGATGGTATCGCGGAAGTACTTCAAGTGCGTGTTTCAAGTTGTACTCCAAGTTTCGCGTAAAAAAGGACTCTCGTTTTATCAAAGAGGGAGGAAATTAGTTTAACCACTTGCAGAAATACGTCTTTACTGTCTCTTTTTTTTTTTACTTTATCTATAAGAATAATATTCTCGTATCTCTAACATATACTGAAGATAAGAGAACGTTAACTCGTCGACGTTTTTAAAAATCGAAAGTGAGAGGAGAAAAAATAAAATTCAATTCAGTATCACGAGTATATATGACTTGTGTTCGTCGCAATGGCGTGTTTCCAATCGATTTTCGTTTAGTCGTACGTTAATCTTGAACTTTTTTATTATATATTTTTTTTTTTCTCTTCCTACTAAAGCTTTTTTAACGTTTTGATCGTGTGAAAATAAAGTATAGTCATTTATTCTATCGTATAGACCTGATAAAAAAAAAAAGAACAATACCAAAACGATGATACGACTGAAAGATCGAAACATTTCATCCAGACAGCATATTATTCACACAGTTTAGTATAACAGTAGTCAATGTATACATATACATATTTCATTCCACGTTGAAGTTTAGGAAACGATCATCGATTTAGAAATAAAATTGCAATAACTGTAGAAAGTTACGTCGTAAACACATAAACATGATCTAGACATTGAGACACATTGTTATTTTTCAAAGACACATATAGTCGAGTTAACCAATCGCTAATAGAATAAAGCAAGCTATCGAATGAAATTCGAAAAAATTCATACAATTTTGTATCTGCAAGCGAGAAATTTATTTTTTTTTATTTTCGTAAAAAAGCAACGATTAAAGGTATAATAAATTTCAATATATTGTAAGAAAAGAAGAAGGTATGTGTGAAAAAGAAATTGGTGTAAGGTTGATACTCGTAAAACGCGCGAATACAGTACTTTTGCGTTCATGCTCGAGTAGTACGAGTAAATCTCTGCAATGCAGGACATACTGGTGTTGTCTCTCTCTCTCACTCTCTTTTTTTCTCTCTCTCTCTCTCTCTCTGTTTCTCTGGAGGATCCACAACTTTTAGAAATCTCGAATAGCTTGCAAGTACGAGATCGTATCATTACTTGTAGTAGAGTGGAAGGTGGGGGTTGAAATCGTTGTGACGTAAACTCTTTCTCTCTCTCTCTTTCTCTTCGCACACGAAACAAGATGTAATACAACCCTTCTCAAGATAATGAACTTTCGAATTCACTTGTCGTTCATGCTAACTTTGCGTTTGATTAAAAATGCAAACAAGAGTAATCGTTAGAAAATCATTCTGTAAGAATAAATGTACACATTTTTTGGAAAAAGTAGTTTTTTTCATTTGTGTGTTGAACACGTCAACGTTAGCATAGGATTCGTAAAAACTTTCGATTAAAATTATATTTAAGTATATAAGTTCAGAAGATTATATAATTTTTTTTACGAAAGTCAAAGGAAATTTCTTTTTTCTGTATTATTAATTCAAGCTTGTAAAATATTGCAGGGAAAATCATTCTTGAGTTTAACTTTTCATCTTAGGTAGCCAATGTGATTGGATTATTTTTATAGCTTTCGGGAAATTGTAATATTCAAAGAAGTTTGCGTTTCATACATTTAAGCTAATTTTATCTCGCTATATTTTCATTTGTTAATAACAACAACAAGAAAAATATTATAATAGTCAATTTTCCACTCGTGAAGAAGATCAAAAATTCTATACCGCGAGACTAATACAAAACTAATTAATATAAGAAAACATATTAAAGAAAGTGGCAAACAAATGTTTCAAAAAAACAATCGAGAGAAATTATATCGATCGATAGGTCGATAAAAGTAAATAAAATAACAATAAAATCGATAGAGAAATATCACTTACGATGATTTCGATTATTACTTATGTTTAGTCGTGCCTGTCGGAGAAGAAATCGTCTTGACGGAAGGGGGTGATCGAGTTTATATTTGCAGGGGGTATCGAAAAAGAATCAAAACAATACAACAAGCAATAGAAGAAGCAGAAAGGAAGGGAATCTTACGAGTTTAATAAATAACGACGACGACGACGACGACGACAAGAAGGATCGTTAAGGAAGAAAAGCACGAACAGTAATAGGAATTTGTTGTCTACGATTCGAGAGCTTAGCGCGGAATGGGTTGATTAATTACAATCAAAGAATAATAATAATAACAATAATAATAATAATAATAAGAAAAATAAAATATAAATTAAAAAAAAGGTAAAAGGAGAGAGATAACAAAAAAAAAATAAAACAAATAGAGAAAATATAAAATGAAAGATAAGAAGGGGTTGGTTATTGGTAAAGGATAAAAGTCGAATAAAAAGCGAAGCTTCTACTCGGGGACACGACACACGTCGCGTCTACTAAGGATCGTTCGCGACTACTCGCGGTGACGGCGTGTGTCAAAGATTCCAAGAAGGAGGTTCACGCTTCGCGATTTCCCCGTCGACAAGGACGCGCCCTCTGGCCGCGCGCATATTTTAGCCGGACACAGAAATGAATTTAAGGTGATCGGCTCGCGCGGCCTCGCGCTTCACGACTACTGCACCCTCGCGAGACGCGTCTCTGCACTTCCCCCCACCACCTACACCTCCTACAACGAACCAACCATCATCCACCACTCCTCCTCCTCCTCCACTACTCTTTCATCCCCACTCTTATTCGACCTTCTTAAACGCGCGTCCTTCTCGACTCCTTCGATCTTTAAACGCTTTACGCGCGTCTTATATTCCATTGTATTTTTTTTTTTTTTCATCGATGTCTCTATCAAGTATTCGTCAAAAATTTTTTCATTCTTTTTTTTTTTTWTGTTACTTCTTTTTATATTCGAATTCTTTTTTTTTTTTTTTTATAATTTCTCTTCACGCGTAAGATCATTTCTATTGTTGTTGTTCTTGTTTTTAAACGCGATGATAAATTGTATTACGAAGGATATTAATCTTTTTTTTTGTATTACAATTTATATACTTTCTCTCTCAATTTTCATCGTATATTTAATTTGTTTTATTAATTAAATGAAGTTGTCATATTATCCAAAATAATGTTATCATGCCAGACTGTCAGTTAATCTCATAATGTTAAGGGTTAATATTGTTATCTATTTAATATCAGAATCCAAGTAATATATGTAGCTACTTTTTCGTTCTTTACAATTTTGGTTTTTTTTCTCTCGTATTATATCTCTCGAAAAAGAATGTTAGGTCTTTTGTCGAATGACATTTGACATTTCTGAAAAGACGGGATAAGAAAGAAATGGTATAAAGTACCAAAGTACCGGACGTTCATTAAGGCATATTCTTTCGTTCTTTTTTCATATTTATTTAATGACGACTATTATTTTGTACATTTATTTCGTATTAAATTCTTAGTACGAAATAAATATTCAATGAATTCGTTTATTATTTCTAATTTTGTAAGATAGATCGATTTCCACGATACATACGTACATATATAAAATAACGTCAATCTCGATAATACTTAATGATAGAACGTAATTGAACGATTGAAGTGGTCGTTATACTAGCTAAAGCACAGTTCGTTGTAGCTCGATTAGTTTGGCACACGCGATTGAGTAGCACACATAGAAGTACTTCTCCAGTTATTGGTCAACCAGTAAAGAGGAGCTATACTTGGTGACACCTAACAACCTTCTACAATTCAAAAGTAGAAAGGGTAACCGCACGAAAATATCTGTTTCGTGAAATTTTAATGCTTATCGAGCGACATTCAACTAGATATTTAAACGTGATAGGCAACGATATGCCTAAATACAAGAATATTATATCCGATGATTTATTTTTATATAAATGAAGATAATAGCGAATTAATAAAGATTGCCTATATTAATTTCAACGAAAGAAATCTTTTTTACTATTTCAATGTGTATCATTCCTTTATATTTGATCGTACTAATTATGTTAGGCGTATATCATTGCAAAAAAAAAGAAAAGTTCATGTAAAGAATAAATTTTTTTTTTCTTTTCAATAAGAAAAGAAAAATAAGAGAAGGAAGATGGTGAACGGATGTTCGTTGTTAAACACAAACAAAAGAGGTAGACATTTTCTTCGTTGATTTTTAGAGAAATTAGTCTATATGAATGCTTTAAGTGGTACTGGGCGCACTCGGGGTCAGCCACGAACATACACAAAAGACCGAGAGAGAGAGAGAGAGAGAGAGGGAGAACGAGGGTTCTCTCCCACCCCCGTGTGCGAGCATCGCGCAGTGACATTGCTGCAGCTGGAAACTCCGAATTCGTTCCTTCCTCCTAGCCCCGAAACGAGGTGCAAGGTGCACTTCGTTGAAGAGGGAGAGGAGGAAGTGGGGAAGAAGAAGAAAGGGTTGGTTGTGGAAAGGCCTGGGTTGCGCAAGCGCTTCGAGTCTCTAATCAGCGAGCCAACTGGGCCAGGATGCGAGCAAAGCAAAATCAGCGTGTCTTGCGAATCATCTCGATCGAGCTTGCCCGAAAATATCGAAGCCCACTTCTTCCAAGATAACGCGACTTTTTATCTTTGTTTTTTGTTTTTTTTTTTCATATATATCCCACTCAAAGAAACATGAAACATCGTTAGGTAGATCAATGTTATAATTTAATATGGCATTGTTATATTTGTTCTAATAAGTAAGAAAAAAAAATCATATGAAATAATTTCTGATATCTCAAATTCTTTCGTTCAATGATCGTTTATGCAAGAATTTGTGCATAACAAAAATTAAAGAGCCTCGTCGTTTTCTACATTATAATTTTTACTAATTTGTCATTCAGAGCTAGTCATATTGTGTGACTCAATCGGATACGTAATATTCTGTTTTTATCTCTAAAACATGAAACCAAGAATAAGATAAGAACACTGTATCATAAAGTAAAAAAGTCATTTATTATCTTTAAAGATGTTCTATTAATATCAGAAAAAGATTTTCCAGTATAAGAAATAAGTTATATTATTCGCTTTTGATTTATATAATGTTTTGCATGTTAGAAAATCATTAGCGACAGGCAACTTATTGTAAGCTATTTATTATTTGTTTACGTTTTATTTGTACTATTTCTAGACAATAGGTTTTAAGAGTAGAATTTAACACAGTAAATGGAATTGAAATGAGTGTTTTATTGGTCTTCCTAGAGATGTTATAATAAATCAATTTGTAAAGTGTCTAGAGATAAAATGATGATAAAATAAAGATATCCAAGAAAGAAGATACAAACCTTTCTTTCTAAACAGAGGACGATACTGCTTAAACCCAATCTCAGCAAGCCATTGATCTGCTTCTGTGAGATCTCCGTTGCTTCCATTTCCAGCGGCTAGCATCAGAAGTTTGCCCAGTGAGAGGATCATGGAAAGGGCAAGAAATACCCCCGACAATACTGTCGACCATCGTGCCATGGCATGAAGAGTGCATCTTTACAAGTAAATCCTACAGATTAAAAATTGTACATATTGCTTGATTGAAACTGGTTTATATGTAATACTATAACATCCTTTTGCGAAAAATTATTCTCAAAAAGTAAACCGAAGAAAATTTGCTCATTGATTTATGCAATGTATATAGAAAAATATGACATATCTGGACACAAGTTTAATATACATATATATACATATGAACATATATGTATAATTTTATCGATTATGCTAAAATCCCGGTAATTGACCGATCGTCAACAGGTCATGTGTCAAAAATCGTAGGTTATGTTTGATATGGTGTTTGTAAACAAAGTACAGTTACTTCATTAAAACGTCGAAAAATGAATTTTAATCAACTCACCACATTTTTATGTAACTTGTCAACGTTACGCACAACGCAATAGACAGATCCTTACTCGTGCTCTTTTAAAAACTTACGACGCATGAAGTGAAGAATAGAACGAATATTATATCTCTCTGTATATCTGTAGATGGAGCGATAGGTGGGAGGGCGCTTACAACGGTGTTAAACTCGAGAAACACGTAAGAATTCATTTTATATGATTCGAAAAATACATTCAAGTTAAACTGTTTCAAATAAATTATTTCAAACTAAGCATTTCGACGTATCATGTTATAAAAATCTTGTTATGATTAATTATTCACATTTTTTGTTTACGAATTTGATTTCGATAATTATGGTCATAATTTTGAATGAGTCAATCAGATCCAGGAATATTAAAAATGAAGGATTTATGCACAAGTGTTAAAAAAGAATTTTTTTACGAGCAATTTAAAACGATATCACGAGAAGAAGAAGTTAGACAATTAAGCAGTATAAACGTAGGCGAAGTATTAATCAAATTCAATGAAGTATGGTAATTTTTTGATGACCTTAGATCATGAACTATTATTTAATATTGGATTTTGTAAATTACTTCGAAGGACTTGATATATGACAATATAAGAATAGAATGATATCTAAAAAGATTTCTTATATTTTTAAAAGTTTCTACACAAAAGATGTTTATTACAGTAATTTATTTTAATCTTTGTTCATGCAAAGAACACAGAAGTACATAGAGGCTCACGAGTCCACTTTTTTTCTAACCAGATTAATCTTGGTTATTAACCTGACCACCAGAAGGCGATAGTAGGTACTTAACGCGATGACGATATACACACACAATCCTATTAAAGGATAAAAACTAATTATATAAAAATAATAAAAATGATGAAATCAGAACGTTACAATTTTAAAATATATTGAATAGATGCATTATTCCCTTTATAAAAATGAGCAACATTAGGAAGGGTATATAAACAACTTTCGATAGAAAAACTTTTTTATGTGACAACGTATCACTCTAACAGGAGATTTCGAAGAGGATGGTACATAGATCATACATTTCAAACTTTTAAACAATAATCAACATTTCTATCGATTATTTAACTGTTATTTTATTACTCTAATAAACTTTCTTTATATTTCAGATTGTTTAAACATATATGGATTAACATAAGCATTACATACTTATTAACATTCTTTAAATATTAAATGATTTCGATATGATACTTTTTTCGATGAAAATTTCCCCCTCCAAAGTCAGCACTGCACARAA